TGCAAAGTAATGAGAGTAGAAATTTGTGAGGGCCAGTCTTTTTTTTTACAAAAAGTAGAGCCATTGCAGTTACTGTACCAGTAGTTTTTTCCAATTTCACCATCCTTCCAAAGTTCATTCAATGTTGGGTAATGAGTATAACATCCATATGGAATCTGTAGACGCACAGCCGCTAGCATCCTACTTTAACCTCCAAACCCAAAACAGTTTTCAGAGAACTGTCTGATTATTATTCCATTAGCAAATAAGATACTTCGCCGATGCTAATCAAGCTTGATAAAGTATATGTAGGCATAGGGCGTAATCTTACATTGCACACTATATTGCAGTCTATTGATGCTATTTGCGACAGCAAAAGTGGTCATTTTGGTACTGAAACTAAGTTCAATATTGCATGTGAACATGACGTTTGAAGAAAATTTTGAAAAAAAAACGTTTTTTTAGTTGGCCCTAGTCGCCAATTGTTCTATAAACAGATGACAGTTAATATAACTTTTGCGACGAAAGATACACTGTCATGGTGTAGAAAAGATAATGCCAACGTAATTCATTTGGCAAAATGGTTTGTCTAGCTATCTCGGCAAAAGCTGTTACGTTTGTTCTTTCTTTGATACGATTTTTTTCCAGCGCAAAGATTCGGATCATATTTAACGAGAAAGACTAAGCAAGAAGAATCAAGTCAAAAACTTATTGTTCAAAAGTTTCACTGTGAAACAAGTTTTTGGAACCTCCACTATCATTTATGTATTCATTTAATGCTGAAGAAAACTTAATATTACATACATCTGCAGCCGCATACCATAGCCGCATAGCCGCATGGGTTTTTCTACACTCATAGTTTTGAAGGAATTCAACTCTCGTCAAAAAAAAATTTTTCCAACCAGTAACTGTGTATAAGATCAGCTGCCCAGTTTGACAAAACTTGAAGGCAAAAGTGAAACTGGCACACTGATCTGCACATTTTGGTGCAACTTACAAAGAAAAATAGTTATCTAACTGTAAAACGAAGTCATTCCAAGTGAATACGCGAAAAAATTGTTTTTTTTTGTTTACTGATTAACAACCCAAAGATATTCTCATAGTCAATTTTTCGCCACTCTATTTTTTTCAAAAGAAGCTCATGAGTCATATTTTTTCGAAGAAAAAAAAACTCATAGGTTACACACACTGCTTCTCAAAGTGAGACTAATGCAGATTTTCATTTTTCATGCATAGAGAACGTGAACTTTATGCAACAGATTCTATATAGTGCAGTCTTTTACGTCTTTCTCAAACCATTACCACTGGAACAAAAGACCACATGATGTATTAAAATCACTCACTTACTCCACTTTTAAACGCTTGATAGAAAAAAAATTCCGACTCAGTTCTTATTCGAAATTCTATCCATTTATTATTTATGAAGATGTGGTGAGATAACACTGCGATAAAGAATGTCCTTTTTTTGGAAAGATTATTTTCGATAACTTCAAATGAATGTCGCATTTCGTAGTGATATTTTCACATTTGGGAAGTATTAAGTACGAAGTATTAACAGTAAATAAATAGGTTCATTTATATGCATATTCTTAATTCTTTTACATTGGAAAACTCACAGCCCTAAGCGCAAAGCCCCCACTGCTAAATTAGATTTTGTTGTCTCTAATTCTACACAGTCTAATTCCCATAATTCTAAATTTCTATCTAATGTACTGCAACTAGCAGCAGAAATTATCTTTAATTGATTAGTAGGAATACCATGCTTGTTGTAAAAGCCGACTCCATCAGAACTCTTGCCTAATCTCGGCCATTTAAAGAAAAAAAACTCGATGGAAACGGTTTATGCCAATTTCTTGTATATTGTATTCCAGTGATCAAATCTGTATGTATGCCCCTCACGACTGATGTTTCGAATCAAACTTCAATATTTTCAGAAACATAAGAAAAGATTAGGAGGTGGCCGACATACAGATGCTTTCAAGAAAAAATTGTTGGTGTCCACACGATTTTTCGGATATTCTGTTGTGTCAATCACGAAAAAAAAAATGTTCACAATTTTGGATAATTACAGTCCTCAAAGCAGTGAATGAAAAAAACAGTCGTTCGGATTTCTTATTATTCTTTTTTTTTCGACTATCTAGTAATTCTTTAGCAAAAACGCAAGAAATGCTGAACGTTTTGCATCACAATGCTGTGGTAAGTTTTACCTCTTCATTTTTTTTTTCGCACCGCTGCATATCGCATCTCTCTTCTTTGGAAAGGCGATCCAAAGAAGTTCCTTTTATCAAGCAGCGTACAAAACAAATTTGTAGCAGTCTAAAATTTCGCCCTTGTGTAGAAAGTAGCATAAATGTTGTCACTACTTCCACACTTGTCCCTACGTCTAGAGCTGATAGAGCTATGATTGAAATACATGTATGTATATTTACATAGGGTTTACATTCATAACCATTCTAAGCTGATAATTCAAGATCTGATTTGTTACTGTACTGAGCAACCCGCCAAAACAGTTTTCGCTTGTAATTTTTTTGTGAAACTAGCTTTCATGTTCACTTACACCCATGAAAATGCACAATATTGATGTATGTCAACCCGTAGTTCAATGCAATTCAATTCTTCCCACCTTTTGCCCCATCTCCAAAAAGAACTCCATGCCAGTCTTGCACGGAAAGTCACCTATATCATTTTTTCCAATGTTGTATGCCGATTAGCCCTAAAACCAACTACAGACCATCGATGTCCTTCCGCTCGAGGACGAGCTTCTCGAAGTGCCCGGGATAGGAGAGGTCGTAACTGTTTACGCAGTTCACCTACCCAACTCCGCGTGCACGACGACAATGGAACCTCCCACTGCCACGACGGACGAAACCAACACCGCCCTTGCTACAACAAGCTCGAGGACGAGCTTCTCGAAGGAATGGAGATGTCAGGATGTAGCCGCTGTGTAACCCTATAGTTGGATGTAGCTTGCTATCGGAAGCATCCACCAACTGTCCAGCCGTTTACACTCAGTCGCATATATAAGCTCGTGCCAGCAACTGGCACGGCAGTCATCTCCACTCCGTGCAGCCTAGCTGCTCCCCTCCCCCCTTTCCTTATCTGTATCTTTATGTATATAATAAATATGATAACCAGTTCTATGTAAGACACCGCTACACACTCAGGTAAGGGGAGTCGACACCCTTGTTCCTGACAACGTACAGACAGACAGACATACAGACAGACAGACATACAGACATACAGACAAACAGACATTCAGCTTTATATATAAGATACTGGCTTAGCCACCGAATTCATCCGAGGCTTTCCGCACGCGACCTGTTCAAAGTTGTTGAAGTATAGGCTCCTGCAAGACGAAGGCGGTCGGTTCGATGTGCGACGTGACTGTGACGCGGCTGTGCTGCACATGCACATCGAATCGACCGCTTTCGTCTTGCAGGAGCTTATATATCATCAGAAGCTTTCCGCACGCGATCGCGCCGGACCAGTGCGAAAGGCTAACCCGATCGTCGAGCAGATATGCCGTATTCTACAGATCCTTGCAGGAGTTTCCTCGCTTACAGAGTTATATGTCAGCGTAATGAGCGGTAGTTCATAGGGTGTAATTAGAGTAATGCTCTGGTATAAAACAACCAAACCATAAAACCCACTGACATGACTAGAAACTACATCATTAAGGTGTGGTGGAAGTTTCATATGATAACTGCAATACCAATTATTCTAACGATAAAACAGATATGTGCGAGCTTGAGGAGGGAAGAGGGAGAGGGGGTAAAAAGGATCATCGACTGACACCAGGGACTTTCGAAAGCCCCTTTTGATTTGCTTTTTACGAAATTCGCTTTGATGTAAAATAGGTGCAATGTCTTTATTGGTGCTTCACAACGAGAGTTCGATAACGACAAACTGAATGATTCGATGAATCTAGCACCGCGCCATCACTAAGAATTTTTCAAGGCTGTAGAAAGCTCAAAGAAAGGAGTATGAAACCGTGGAACTATAAATCTTTCATATGAAAGCACTACTTGATCAGTAAGTTCTTGTTCTAAATAATATCAAATGTTTGATCTTCAGCTTTTCTGCCGACATTCCTACTGTGGCAGAGAAAATTGTACAAAATCTCAAACGGTCTTTGCCGCTCAGCTTATGTCGTTTTCAATCTCAAATTTTCCCAAAGAAATTTTGAGCCCTCCCCCCTTATTAGAATCTTTCATCAGCTATTTCTCACTCCCCATAATCCTCAGTTTGCATTGGGAGCAAAAGAGCTAAAATAAAGATAAACGCATGGCAGATTTGCAGCTTTGAGTTCTTTCCGTCATCTTGAACCATTTGGATGTGCTAGGTCCACAACTGTAGTATTCATCACTATAGCTTGTGAAATTTTCAAAATTGCTCTTTACTCTTTTTTAGCTGCAAAAACTCTTGGGGCCGTATGCTTTTACATCTCTATCCGCGCAGACATCTGCCACAAACTGTGCATCTTAACATACTACAGCTTATATCAGTTGCCCCAGTAGCAGAACCCCCCATCCGTTAAAAATGCTTCGGACCAGAGACCAAGAAGCTTTTACGAGATACAACCTTTCCTCGCTCAAATATCCATCATCGAAAAGGCCAATACAAGATGCCGCTCTTCTCTTTTTTGTCCCCAAATTGAGCGGGAATCACCGTTTAGACATCGCGCTTCAAATCCATGCGTGTTTGGAGCTAAACATTAGCTTTTGTTTTTTCTCCTTCATTATTGTTCTCCGTCTTCCGTCTTATGTCTCGTCTTTCTCTCCGTCTTATTCGTCCATACATAGCTTTTGAGAATGGGGTTATGTAAACTTTGCTGAGGTTTTGGCGCAGTCGTAAGGACTTCACTTCCGAAAATTCTAAGCCAACACGCGCCAGGCTCTCCCCACGGCGCCTTGCGCCTCTACTTATGCGTTTACGTTCAGAAGAAAAGTCACTTAGTAGAAGTGTAACGCAATTTCAGATTAGCATCTACCAAGGCTCTACTTGCTTATGCCCTACCGTACCTATCTGTGACATCTCCAGCAGTCGCTTGCCTTCGGGCATCTACAGTCCTGGTGATAACCGATGAACGAAGTTGACGCACTGTAGCCTCTGCCGACAACAAAGCGTCCAATAATGGGTCATCCGGAACGGCACTTGTGCTAGTTGGACGTATCCTGAATTCGTTCGATTTTTCCAAGGAAGTTACTTTTTCTATTTCTGCTTCTATTTACCGGTCTCGTTCAATTTGTACAGCTTCCTTCTTCATCCCACGACGCATGCATTCATCAAATCGACAACTACGGCATGTGTTTCGTTGTGCTAGATCAATAAAACAATTTCGGAAATGTATGAACATCTTATTTGGCAATCGCAAGGTAAAGACATCACGCAGACGTGACGCATAACTTGCGTCACTATGTATAAAAACGAAATAATACCTTTATCAACTACACATTTGCGACTGAAACGGCAGGTGTAAGCATGGCGTTTCCGCACTGTTCGACGAAAGAAGCCTGCAATACAATAAGTCAACTTTGTAAAAATTGTGAAACAAAGATCATGCCCACACTCTAAATGGTCAGCATTAATTAATATTTATAATGACTTCTAATAACTGCAACTACGATTGTTTTGCAGCTTTACAAAGTGCTTCGATATCTTGTCACGAACTACGATTGCTCATTTATATGAGAAAATACATTTCTAGAGTCAAGTATTGTCCCTCCAGATCTCAGGTTACTGGGATTTCAAAGAGTAACGAAACTAAGGCTAAGCTTAGTTAGTGGATTCACTACAAAGCCAGAATCAATTCTTGTCAAGACACTGTATTCAAACAACGTAAAGTGTATAATATTAGGGTGATCGGTAAGAAATGGGGCAGCTTGATTTTTATTACATTTTGAGGTTTTCTGTTCTCGCAGGCTTCAACTCAAACGTCGCTTAAATAACCGACCTTCGCCTATCATTCTGGCAACGCGTTACGGCCCCTCTCTCGTAACCGTGCACGTGGCGCCGTGAAGAACTCAGACTCAGAACTTTTTGGAACAATTCTCAATCTTGCGCTGCTATACCGTAAAATCATAAACCAAGTGACATACCATTCGAAAGAGCTCTTTATGCTCTTTCAAGCATATGTTGAATGCGTGAGATTTCTTTTTAATTTCAGAAAAAAAAGCGAAGAAATCTGAAAAATAGCCATTTTCTGGCGCAATAAAAAAACCAAAAAACCATGTTTTGCCCTATTTTTTCCCAAGATAGATAAAAACTGAGATGATCTGTATATGGATGGATAGAGCGTAAAAAGCTCTATCAGATGGTGCCTACAAAACACGTTCACCTGCAATGAATTGAATAACGCGTATTTTTGTTCTCGAAGCTGCTAATGACCATATCTCCTGACTTTGAAAGTTGAAGCCACCAAGCCGTCGTGGGTTTGGTGACTGTCCCACCACCCCCTCCAGCAGTGGTACTTTGGGTGATCTCGCATGTTTCACTGCGCAGATACTGTTCAAACTTCATAACTTATCGAAGTGTCTGACTTTGCATTTTAGCAAGTATGAAAATTATCAATTATGCAAATGACCTTATATAGGTATTGTTTGAAAGGGAATAACATATTCTAACAAATATCAAAATTGGAAAGTCTAATCACTTCTCTTTCTTGAGAAATTTCCAGTTATTTCGTAAGTGCCCCATTTTTTAGTGATCACCCTAATAGTACCGGTGCAATTAACAAGAATAAAAAGATGAAAGACAGTTTTGGTGTCTACGATGCTTTCTAGGAACATGCGCCAAACGCATTTTACTTGTAGTCGAGGAAGCAATGAAATGCGTGGGAGCTTTTCGCGTGACTTACAGAGGTCAGCCGATCACCAAGTCATGTTTTTATCCCTCTAGACTACAATGATATCAATTTACCATCTCCGGAGAGTAAAGGGCTTGATTGGCCCAGGGCGGAATCGAGCATTAATCCGACATAGTCATAGCGGCAATCATACCTACGCCACTCATCCCCCTAACCAAAATGGCTTTGGAAAATGAGGTCTACTTTCTACTTCTTACAGAGTATTGGGAAAAAAGTCGGCATCTATGAGTGGCAGATTGCGAAGTGGTGGCCAACAAAGAAGCATTTACCATAAATGGAGAGCAAAATAGTGCCGGGAGGCTACAGCAATTTAAGAACCATCGTGAGTAGATATGTGAGTTGTATGGAGGACTAGGTCAACGCGTTTTATAGAAACCAGTTCGTGGTGAATATTGCTCAATGGCATGTCCCAAAAAATTTTAACTCAATCTTTCCATATTTTACGCCTTTTTGCGTGTGGGGGTAAACCAAATTCAGGCTCGAAACCGTTTGAAAAGACTGTCATCAGGACGTTCATCCACTTTCCAAAAAGAGGCTTGGATAGCATGCACGATACACGAGCGGTCGTGGCTCTCCCTCCAGACTAGGTAAGCAGTGTGGTCCGATCGAAGGTAGCGCGCGCCGATATATGGGCAATTTTCTTTGTGCACGAGTAACATCATCCAGTCTAATTAGTCCTGCGTTAGCGTGATATAGGAGGACGCAGATACAGATATTCCACCACAGCTACATCGCAGCAGTCTCGAATCTGCCGGGACACTGTCTTTGACGGATCTGACTAATAAGAGAAACCAACTAAGTAATATACTTGGGGAAATTCGAAATTTTTTCGAATATTCGAATATCGAAAATATTCGAAAATTGAAAATTTCGAATATTCGAATCTTATATATAAAGCTGAATGTCTGTTTGTCTGTATGTATGTATGTATGTATGTATGTATGTATGTATGTCTGTGTGTACGTATGTTCCGAATAGAAAATTCCATTTCTGAACCGATCCGGACCACTTGGCACACATACGCTACGGGTCCCGGCGGGTGTCATAGGCTACTTTTCGTCATCGATCGATATCGATTTTATCGATTTTTATCGATTTTTTTTGCTGAGTTCGCCTACGGGGCTGGGAGTTGGCACAGGGGGGTAATCGAGCATGGGATTCCGAATACAATATTGGTTTTCAGGATTATCGATTACTTTTATCGATTTTATCGATTTTTTGCAAAGTTTGAGCTAGGGGGCTGGGAGTTGGCACAGGGGGGTAATCGAGCATGCTGATCATCCCAAGGGGGGTGATCAGCATGCTCGATTACACCCCTGTGCCAAATTCCAGCCCCCTAGCTCAAACTTTGCAAAAAAATCGATAAAATCGATAAAAGTAATGGACGATCTTGAAAAAACTAATATTGTATTCGTAATCTGCATGCTCGATTACCCCCCTGTGCAAACTCCCAGCCCCGCAGGTCAAACTTTACAAAAAAAAATCGATAAAATCGATAAAAGTAATGGACGATCCTAAAAATTAATATTGTGTTCGTAATCAGCATGCTCGATTACCCCCCTGTGCAAAATCCCAGCCTCGCATGTCAATTACAAAAAATCGATAAAATCAATAAAAGTAATCGATAATTCTGAAAACTAATATTGTATTCGGAATCCCCATGCTCACTCCCCCCCCCCCCCTGTGCCAACTCCTAGCCCTGTAGGTGAACTCTGCAAAAAAATCGATAAAAATCGGTAAAATCGACATCGATCGATAACGAAAAGTGGACTGTGACACCCGCCGGGGCCCGAAGTGTATGTGTGCCAAGTTTGGTCCGGATACGGCGGAGCCGGGTAAGCCAGCTAGTATCGAATAATATTCGAAAATCTAAATTTTCGAATATTCGATTATCGAATATTATTCCAAAATTGAATATTTCGAATATTCGATTTTCGAACATTATTCGGAAATCGAAAATTTCGAATATCCGCTATCGAATACTATTCGAAAATGGAAATTTCGAATCGAATAATATTCGAATATCCAATATCATTCGTTATTAGAATTTCGAATATTATTCGGTTTTCGAATGTTATTCGATTTTCGAATACTGATCGAATAATTTATGTCATTGAGACTGCCTATGAGAGGCCAAAACATCTAACAAGGGAAGGATACTTGATCGCAGTGACGATAGGGTAAGCGGTGTATACCGCGTATACCGTCCTCAGACGGTGATCTCTAAACCGCATTCCATATCTGCTATGACGTCATTCTGGAGGAGTTATAAAGGAGTTTTGGTGCAGTGATAGTGGCTTGGACTGAGACCTGTGGCCGTATTCATCAACGAAACCCATGGGTTCCGGAACCCACTGGGTTAGTGCTTCTGATGAATATCGATTCTTCCCTGGAGTAGAATCGATATTCATCAAAAGCACTAACCCAGTGGGTTCGGAACCGTTTCGTTGATGAATACGGCCACTGGACGTTGTGGGTTCGATTCCTCTGGGATGCCAGCCGTTTCGCATTTTTGCAAATTTCAACAGGCAAGTTGCAAAACCTGTCGACATCAGAAAAAGTTGATTTTCACAATATGAAGCAATATATTGACATTTATTAGCAATGATTCACCGTCTAACCTAGAGACACTCGTTTTTAGCCTTTATCATTAAATACTTTACTCAATTTTACATTGAAAAATTCCGAAATCGTGCTTAACATAGAGAGGAGCAACTAACCTGTCAAAAATGGCGTCTTTATCGATTTTTTAAGAGTGTTTTTAGGCTAGACGGTGGTTCATTGCCAATAAATGTAAATATCAGGTTGATGCATAATTCCTGCACCAAAATAGGTACATACCGCAATAACTCGGAATAATCCTATATCCCATGTAGGATTCGATATATCATTAGATAGCGCGAACCTAGCTCTACAAGATATTGCTCAAATATCTACACCAGCTTTGATCCACACGAAGTTTTGAGCCAAAAACTGGAAAAAACCATGCATCCGAAAACCTTAAGAAAGATCTTTAAAAAATTGTAACTCCGTTAAAAAAGCTCCTACAAAAATTCTTTCTTGCTCACGCGTAGACGTTTTACATAAGACATTTATCTATGCAGTTGTTGTATTTTTTTCTCAGCTTGACGATGAGAAAACGAAGTTTTTCATGTTTTTGCCAAATTAGTGCTGAGATGTTCTAACACTAACGGTTGTATAATACATGCCATTAGCAGTCAAACTTTACATTTTCAGCCTTCTAGAACAGCTAGTTCACGAGTAATGACGAATCTAGCTCTGTTCATCCGAATTTTTCTTGCCTAATTGCCAAAAATTCGATATTTCTCGTAAACCAGTTGCTGTAAAAAGCTGAAAATTCACATTCACGCTTCTAAGGTCCTGTAGTATACAACTGTCAGTGCTAGAACATCTCGGTTTGGAAAAAACATGAAAACTTCGTTTTCTCATCGTCTACCTGAGCAAAAAATACAGGAACCGCATAGATAGATGTGATGCGTGGACTGTCTACGCGTGTGCATGAAAGAAATTTTCTAGGAGCTTTTTGAACGAAGTTACAAATTTTTTAAGATCTGTCTTAAGGTTTTCGGACGCATGTTTTTTTCAGTTTTTGGCTCAAAACTTCGCGTGGATCAAAGCTGGTGTAGATATCTGAGCACTGTCTTGTAGAGCTAGGTTTGCGCTATCTAATGATGTATCGAATCCTACTTGGGATATAGGATTATTCCGAGTTATTGCGGTCTGGTGCAGGAATTATGCATCAACCTAATAAAATTGCTTCATAGAAAATCAACTTTTTTTGATGTCAACAGGTTTTGCAACTTGCCTGCTAAAACTTACAAAAATGCGAAACGGGCGGCATCCCAGAGGAATCAAACCCACGACGTCCAGGTCCCAGTCCAAGCCACTATCCACTGCACCAAAAATTCTTTATAGCTCCTCCAGAATGACATCATAGCAGATATGGAATGATATCCACGAAAGTCCATAATGGAGGAAAATGGACTTTCAAGCCCCATTTTACTCGTTCGCGGTGGAGAGTGGTCGGAATCTGCTTTCGCTCGCGTTATCCAAAAATTTTCATCCCATCGCAACCACGAGGCAAAGCGGTGAAATGAAAATGATTTAACCCTACCTGAGCTCTCGCTTGCGAAATGATGACGTCAAAAGTCCATTTAGAATGGGGCAAAATGGGATTTACCTCCATTTTAAATGGACTTGAAAGCCCATTTTACTCCCAGCAGCAAGGTGAGCTGGGACTAAGCCCATTTTTGACCTTTTTGCATATTTTTGATTGCGATTTTTTGGGAATGTGTTTCTTAACCTATCCTAAGGTAATAGGTGAGTGGAAAAAGTTTCATGTCTTTTATGAAGTCTGAAATAAGTGTTTCTTTCTAAACTCATAGAATTGCTATAAAAACATAGAAAAAGATTAAATTCACCCAAATATTCGCTAACAAACCCAAATGCTTTTTAATATCAGGTCAGTCAGAAAATTCTTATGTAAAACAAATAAAGTTTGTTATTTCTTCAAATCATCAACCAAAACCAAATTCATGATTTGTAATCTAAAATTTGAAAAAAAATTGTACTTCAATGTGATTACTTAGAAGCTATCTTTGGCTAATTTCGTAGAACCGAACCTCAGAGACGGCATTTTAAACGCAATTTTGAGTTTGGTCCGCAAGAATTACTGAAGTGCCGCTAGCTAGCTAGAGAAATTCCGTGAAAAATTTTTTACTAGATTAGTCCATACATTCAACTCCTTAGAGTTACAAATATTAGTGCTGAAAGACAAAGAAAAGCTAATGTCGAGCACTTGCGAAGTCATCTTTTGGGATTCAAAGTTTTTGCGACTTGAAAAACCTTTTGAGTTTGTAGTGCAGTACAAAGTTTCTTGTAAGGAGCATTTTGGTTCACAGATTGCAGTGCTCCAGCCAAAGTTTGCTTTTTGCAGAAATCTCCACATACGAATTCGATTTAATGCTGATTCGTAGAAGTTTTGAAGCGAAGGCCCGGATATTACATGAGTTTTAGTCTTGGAAGTAATTTAGATGCATAGTCATCGATAACGAATGGCATTCTGTTAGTTGTAACGAAGTGGGAAAGTATGGAATAGCCAATTGAGTGACATTGTAATGTTAGGTCAGCCTAGTTAGATATCGACCACTTGGTGGAAATGAGTTTGCAAGAGTGAGCAAACAGGTTGAGACAAGTTGGAGAAAGGTTAGTTGAAGCATTTTTGTATGGAATGAATGTATTCGCGAATGCGATATCTTATCGCACCACATGGACTAAGTCCATTTTATTCGCACGAAAAGCCCATTTCGCGGGGACTTTCGTGGATATCATTCATGGAATGCGGTTTAGAGATCACCGTCTGAGGACGGTATACGCGGTATACACCGCTTACCTTATCGTCACTGCGATCAAGTATCCTTCACTTGTAAAAATAAGTTATTTCATGCAAATGTCAAGAATAGACGCTTTCTTAGGTTACAATTTTGGAAAAATGGTTTAGTCCTGACATGAAGAGACTTAAGAACCTAAAAGCTACTAACGGTTGTGAAGAGATTTTTTGTACTTCAAAGAAGATTATATGATTGCGAAATAATACACAGGGGTCCCAGCAGTATGTAGATCTGTAAGCTGACATCAACTTAGAGTCTAGGCGATTTATCAATCGCTTTTCACTGTTGTAAAATCACCTTAAGACTGAATAGGGTTCATCGAAACATCAAGAGCCATTTCCCCAAGAAAAGGAATAAAACGGCCGAACGTTGGATTAGACTTCTAAAGACACTCATTATATGTAGAATTTGCACTCAACCGTGCATACTTCAAAACTTACGTCAGGTACACCGTAATAAGTGTTTCGCAACGTCTTTCAAAAATGTGGCCATTGAAAAGCTTGAAAACTCGTAGTAAAATTAGCATACGTAACGCTGCTACACAGATTCTAGATCTTTTTGGGGGTAATTCTTTTGGATGTCATTACAGTCGCTTTCTGCTGTATGTGAGCTGAAGCCATTCCTACTGGATGTTATTTAAAAATTAGCAAAAGACTTCGTGAGAGGTAATAGCGATCAAACGGTGTGTAGATACTTTTAGAAAACCCGTATACGCCATGCATATCAAATTTTTGAATATCCGGTGCTTATCAAACTTTCGAATAGACAATTTTTACCGAATTTTCAAATTCGATGGACTCGAATATTCGACTATCGAATAATATCCGAAAGTTGAGATTTTCGACCATTCGACTTTCGAATATATTCGAATCCTGGAAATTTCGAATATTCGAGTTTCGAATTTTACTCGAAATCTCAGATTTTCGAATATTCGATTTCGAATCATTCGCAAATGATTTATTCGAATGATCGAATAATCATTCGATTCGGTCCTAAGTATACTAACAAGTAGGCGATTGAAGGTAAGACGTAGCATTCATTCTCTGACTAAGAGACGCCAGCACGCTTTGAGTACGTTTGGTTGAGATTTTGTTAATTACTTAACAAGTTAACGCATTCATGAACTCGTTAACAGGTTAACAAGTTCATGAATGCGTCCGAACGCGTTCTGATTGATTATTATAAGATATTCGTAAAAGACATGTTTGAACTCGAATTGTTTAACGAGCTCGAATATGTTCTACCATGAATTGCTATTAGTATCATCGAAGACGCGTTAGAACGCACTCATGAGCTTGTTAACCAACATACGCAAAGCGTGCTCGCGTCTCTTAGGAAACGAATGATATACACTATACGCATCTTGAAGCACTGATTCCAAACTTTCTTTTTGCGGAAGAACTCTATGAAAGAAGCTATGAGCATTCTACAGTCCACAATCAATCATTACATGGCATAAAATTAGCGAAAAACTGTGCAAAAAATGAAAGTGGGAAATCAAATTTGTATGGAGCATGTTGATTGGAGGAGAAACGCTACTAGTGGAAGCCACATAGATTTCTTGCAGAGCTTTTCGCTACTTTTGCCACTAAGGCCTGACAGAAGTGGAGTTCGAAACGCTCATAACTTCTTTCGCAGAGTTGCTTCGCAGAAAATGAAAGCAGATTTGGAATCAGCGTTTAAAGGCGCGTCTACTTACATATCAACCTCAAGTGCTAACTCAAGTTGGTTACTTCCTTGTAAGGTCGGTTGACTGGTTAATAGAATGCATGCTGGCGAAACTTTGCCAATGCTCTCAAGAATAGATCGATAAACCCTAAGCATGGCGACTCATAGGCATCTACGCGCTCACGCGGCATGTCGTCACGAGCACACGAGCAACTGATGAGAAATAAAAACAAAAAATAATAATAAGGCAAAACAAGCTGGATTTCTTCGAAATAGTCAATTTGCACCCAAATAATGAAAGAGATAAGAATGTGATTTATTGCAGAGGCGAAACAAAAACTAAGGGATAGACAAATGAAATGGCGTAAATGTTTTTTCCCAGTCACAAAAAATCAAAAACTGCTTGGTTACAATGACCACTTCCAAGAAGTTTTATGAGAGATGTTGCAATTCTTTTTCGTGCGAAACGACCCACCTTTGCATCCATCACAGCTGACAGCGCCGTAATGTTTACCGGTTGCTTTATCGCCGCAAATAGCACACACACCCTCTGAGGATAGCGCATTCGCAGTGGCGGCGGCACTTTCGTGCTTGGCGGAATGATCGTCATGATTCATTTCGGCGATAATACAAGAAGCAGCGGATATGTTGAAGTACTGAAGTTTAGGTGATAGGCGGTGAACCTGAAGGCCTGACCGTTGGCGATGAGCGTGAAAACGAGTTGATCGACGAACAAAATTGAGAGCTAGAGACGTAGAGGAATCACGGGGGGACAAGTACAAGATTTTTAATGGACAACAACAAGTGCTATAGTAGGAAAAAATTAGTGCAAGAGTTCGAACTTGGCCTGATGGGTAGCTATTCGCTCGTGTAAAGCGCTGAATCTTCTCGTCTCCTGCACCTCGTCGATAGCGTTATCAGCCGCTATCGATCGCTTCACATGGCTTACCGGGGCAGGTTCGCTCCTCTTCTTCACATCAACAGACGTCACTTTCATTTGTAAAGCGAGTAGTACGACGAGTGATCGTTATCTGGAGAAGGTACAGCTTCTTTCTGGAGAAATTCATTCATTAAGAGGCAATAACTAGCGCAAAATCGAAACTGCACGGCCAATTCAAATAAAACAGAAGGACATAAGTTTTTTGTTCTTTCTTCCTCTGAAAACTACAACAGACAGACTATTGATCTCCGAAAAATTTATATGTGTAAACAATAATCATCACCAAAACCAAAACTAGTGTGTGCACAGCCATGGCCATTTGCGTATTTGAACTTCGCCCCAGAAGTAAATGCTCTGGATCTCAAATCATCATTATTTATAGATAGTGTTCAAAATTTGTTGTTTCAGGTGGTCTGATTATTTCAACTCAGTTCCTGGTTAATAATGCAGCAATTTCATAGAGGAATAGAAAGAAGGAGTGGTACTGGTTTGGCACGAAAATTCTGTATAAAATCGTGACTTCCGATTATGTGGACCGATTTGTTTCAAATTATATTTTGAGTGAAAATCAAATTATTTTTTTGTAGAGATAGGTCAGAGATCGAAGCCGAAGATAATATTTTTCTATCAAAAAAAAAACTCAGACATTGCAATAAAACCCGGAGCATTGATAATATGGGTTGTATGACCTACTTACAAAGATAAAAGAAAAAAATGCTTTTTAGGTGACTTTGGAGGAATTTGGGCGATAGCTTTCGTTTGGTATTTTAGAACATGGTTCCGCTCTCTCACTTCCATTCTCACGATTAAAATTAACAAAAATTGCCTTTTTACTGCTAATTGGTTACCTACATGGCACATACTCAAGCGTAATAAATTGAATATTAGGTTGTCAAAGAAACCACTACGGAATATTTCTTTTTCGTTTCTTCCGCAATATTAGAAGTTGCGAATGGCTGCTTCATAAGAATAAAATGAAAAAGTACACGACGCCTAAGGAGGTCAACTTCACCACGTCCCAAAAATTTCTGAGAGTAAAGAATGCAGTGCTAATCTGCATGACCACAGCAATATTTGGGCCAAAAAAGTGCCAAAAGACTCAAAGAAAGACCAAAACGTCACTCTTAAACCGCCCAGCTAAATGGTCAACTTAGCACGGTTATTACATGAAAAATTAAAAAGCCAGGTTTCCTAAAGAGATGTCAAAGAAAAACGATGCCACCTAAACCAAAAAATTTGCAAAAATTACATAGGTTATTTTATTTCAGTTAGTTTTTTGGGACCGGATTGTGAAACAATAACCAACACCAGGAAAATCCCCTGCTCAATAACCTGAGAAATTTGATACTCCGATCCAATTTTTAATGCTTAATTGTGCTATAGCCAGGAATTGAGTTCCATCTCCTGATAGCTATTCCATCTCTTGTTTTTGAGCATTGAAGGTTCAAAATAGCAATTTCATAAATTATGTTTATTTTTGTTTTTGTTTTGTTGGTCTACATTAGCGGCCATTAGTGGAGCATCAAAAAGTGGAGCATCAATGGGAAAAGAAAGATTGTTTTCCTTGGGATTGGATTGCTGTTTTGCACCACAAGTCCAGAGACCTAATAGTCAGTGTCGTAATGTTTTGAGCTCCCCTTCTGGAAAATAATTTTTTCTTCTTCAGCTCTGATCTGCTGATGTGATGCCTTGAAAAAAAACAAAGGAAGTGAGAAAAAAAGCTGATTACTCTTTTTTCGATGTTGTTTTTACCAGCCAAAGTTTTCAGATAACATCTATAGCAAGAGAAAAGTGCAGAAACTCGCTCGCTTACCAACATTTGCCCTCAAAGTAAAAGTTGTTTTCCCGCTCAAATGCTGGTCTCCCTCCACCTAAGCGCAGAACCAACGACCATGAGTGAATGTCTAATGACTAGGATGGTGTTCTTCGCTCATTCTAATGAATAAAGACATTGATCCGGAATTCGTCGCCGCTAACATCGTTAACGTGATCGTTCGCAAATTCCCTAGTGAATGCGATGAAATGGCCACTAATGGGTAATCCTGATGTTCACTTGCGCACTCCAGTCTGTGTTGATTGATGTTAGTCATCATTTCGACTTCCGATCTTAGCGTTATGTATTCGTTTTGATGTTGGTATGTTTCCATGCTCTAATTCAAATATCAAAGCTCCGCATCTATCATTCGTTCTTTTACTAAGAGACTAGATACCGTTTTGGAGCCATTGTCAAAACATGTTGAATGTATGTTAACGAGTTTATACTTGTGATCCTTTTTACTTATTGTTAGGAACATTTGCAACTTGAAAACATGAAAGAACATGTTCAAACTTGTTTAGACAATGTGTGCTAAGCGACTTCGAGTCTCTTATTTTTAGTCACAGAATAACTATTATATTTTTAGACCATAAGTCTCAACAAATTATGGATTTGGTAGATTTTTACAAAAAAATTATTTATTAAATCCAGTTACATTACTCCCTATTGGTATGATAAATGTTGCAGTTTATATGACACAACAGAGATTTTGTTTCTGGACGAAACCGGAATGTCAACAACAAAGATCCATAAGTATAATGATTCTTTCAGACTTGCAACCACTTTTTTTATAATTCAGGGAAAGCGCCTTATCAAAAGCCCCAGTTTCTAATGATTCATTTGAGGAATCGAAATCATATCTGGGAGTCTTTCTAGCGACCAAAATGCGATAAAAAAGGAAAAAAATTCGAAGCAATGACACATTTATCAGCTTTCGAACACGAGATATTACAAAAGCAGTTTTTGGTATAAAATTGTTAGTAAGCGCATAAGTTGCTCTTTTGGGAACTGTAAGAAGAAGAATTCCAGTGGAGGATTAACATTCGGTGTAGGACATGTAAAACAACTTGATATATCTCTTGAAACTGGCATCAAAATGCCCACAAAAATTCAGTATTCGAGAAAAAGAGCTGGAGAATAAGATTACCGAGGCATCCTGGACTCTCAATTTTCAAGTTTTTTACGTCACAGGCTTTCACCGATCTAAGGAATTTTTTCACAATCTCATTAACCAATTATCCTCAAAATTGCACAGGTAACCTCAGTAACTCGGAATGGATAGGAGGAGAATTTAGCAAACGATTTTTTTTCCCGCCCAGCTGTTCATTCGTCATTGTTCTGTTATTGTTTACTTTTTAGCAATTAAAAACTCCAAAATTAGTTTTTAGCGAAACTTTCTGTGTTCTTAAGAACAAAAAATAAAGATTTGTAAACATAGGACATTCTCATCTCCGCAACCCTCCCCTGTCTCCCCGCTGTTCTCCTAGTTATCGTAGATTTCCCTACTATTCCTTATGTCTCATAGAACTTATTGTTAGTATTCTTGCTCAGCCATGCGTACAACTGTCAGAAACAAAGGCTTCCGATTACTGGCGAAATGACAACGTAAGTCAAAATATGGCTTATGCTCGTTTATTGATGTCTGGAATAGCACTATGTTTTCCGCTTGATGATCCTTGGCATTTCCTCTCGGCTAAAGCATTCAAATAAGGTTTATGCAAGACTAGCATCATCAAAAAGAGCATCTCTAAAAATTCGTTTTATGATCCTCCGCAAGATGAGTCTGCCCGTCTTATTTAGCGATCTCGACTTGTCTCGGTTTTCTATTTACTTTCCTTATAGGGAGCTTAATAGCAGGAAACTCAGTAACGCTTAAAAAATTACGGGATAGAAAAAAAGAACACATTTAAACAATTTCAATGCCTAGGCTCCCAAAAGGGGGCATAAAATAATCTACTTTTTAATATGTTTCCCCAATACGGTTCTTTGAACGCATTACTTTGATTTTTGGGTTCATACTGCCAAACTTTCTCGAGATTGTGCTGATCTTGTTTACCACTATTGAGTGCAAGTAAACAGCTTTTTTTCAGCTATTTAGATATTTCACAGTATGCTATGTCTTGTGTTATATGGCCCACTAATGGTCCGTTTGCCAAAAAAAACCGTTTTACCTTACAATTTCTTTTTGATTTTTTTGCTTCTGTAGAACCAAAAATCGAATATGGCTGCCCATTAAATTGTCATTCTCTTACTGCTAGCACCATTTGCTTTTTTTTATTGATTCCCCTAAGTTTTTCACTTTTACGCTCCAAAGAACGTAGAAATTCTTCCTTTTTTGGAACTCTGCAAAACTTCGCGTATCGTGTGTTTGCGAAACCCATTGGCTAATTTGTAAATTATTTTGAGCTAAGCAAGACATTCATGGCGCTCAATCGACAATTAAATGACATAATTAAAAACCTCAAAAAGCAAGGAATGCTTTCCTGCTTTACACTAACCATGCTAGTTACACATTGGCTATGATTGAGCAAAATGAGGAGAAAGAACAATCAAAGTAAAGCCAGTAATTGATAGAAAGCCGGTTTTCTTCCTAGACCTAATAGCTAGCATCTCATTCCGATCTCTGCTCAGCAAGAGTGCAAATTTCCGAATTATGAAGCGCAAACTGGTCAACTGTAGGGTGCGGCCCCGGGCCGTTTCACCGGAAGTTCGTAAAAAGGGAGACAGTGCATAGCAGTTGACGTGAATTTGAGAAGACTTGCTTCTCTGTCTCGATTCCTTGCACCAAATTATGCTCGCAACAGAATAAATTTTCATGAGCATTTCCTCTTTCTAAATTAAACCGCAAGGGCAAACTCACTGATGCATAAGGATATTTGAACAACTTTTTTGAATGCTTTTTTGCGTTTTTCTCAAATCCATCACTAATAATTTCTGCTTCGTTCTATCATAGAACTTCTATGCAATCAAGGTCGGCTTACCGCACTTAAATGATTAATTACTCGTGTAATTGTGGCGTCGCGGCTCTGCTTGTCTGCGTATCTTACGCCCACGTTGTCTTTTTCGCTCCAAAGGCGTCCGGATCGAGAATCGCGCGCCACAGCGCGCATTTTTGAAGTTGACACACCATACTTAGAACAAAATGTTGAGTCTCTGGATTTTTCCTTTCCTGGCTCCCGTCAATTCTTTATGCCCATCGCTTTTCATTTCAGGGCTTGACTTCAAAAATCGTTTTGAATGTTGATCAAAATCAAAAAGCTCAGCTGCGTTTGAAATTTGATCTTTGCACGGTTCAAAATGCAAGGAGAAACAAAGCAAAGACTTGACTCTGTTTAAAGTGACCACTCAAGCGCCGGCGATGCACCAGATGTTTTGCATAGCGAACGCAGCTGACACCTGTCTATGCCAGCCAATCCGTACATTCTTGACTGCATCTACACCCTCACTAAGGAGTATCTCTTTTAGTTCACTCATACATTTTGTCATTTTCATCTTTGTAAGAGTGCAACAAAGTAGATAGCATATATAGGCCATTCATCGCACGCAAAGACAGGGCGCCACTACGGGCACCGTCGGCGTCTCGCTGATCGAGCGCTCTTTCACCTCTCTCGTCGTCTGCTGTCTCTCCCATGCGCGAACTATCTTGGTCGGACGCAACGGCGTCCAGTCTCTGCGTGCGATGAATGGCCTACATACCGATTAATTTCAAAAGGCGCTCCGCCTCCAGCATTAACCGTGGCACATCAATGTCGTGGCCAACATTTCGACCTATATTGACCTAGCTATGAGGGGGCGGGGCTTCAAGTTGCTGCTGCTCTTTCGCAGGTGTTGTCGCCTTTGGCTACCCCTTTCTTCTAATATCTCCTCCATGACGAAGGCGGTCGCCCAAATAGGTTGAGAGCATGCAATGCTGGCGCGCACGTGGCGCGCGCGCAATTGTCAACCACGGGTCACGCGCACGCTCGCGTGGATGGCCGCTGACCGACCGTGCGCGCGCCCTGTGGTTGACAATTGCCCGCGCGCCGCGGCCTTGCATGCTTTCAATATATTTGGGCGACCGCCTTCGTCTTGGAGCAGATATTAGAAACCGCGTCTCGGAAGCTTCGACCGTGCCGCATAATGTAACGTGCGCGCTTTCGCTGCTGCTTGAGAATAGTACGGTCTGGGTGAAAGTTCAGTGTTGACTTTTCCGGCCACGAATGGATGAGATGAGATGCCGCTTGAGCAATCAAGTAGTAACGACTACTAATCACTTTCTACGCAAGTACACAGTACTAGTCAGTACTTCAACAGTCAATGATTAGAAAGACGGCCGTTTCGCACGACACCATCCTACAGCCACCCCGCATGACTTTTCTCAACCGTCGCGCCTGCGTCAAGTCTTTTTATAGTTAACAGCACGGAATCGACCGGACTGAACGCTCGCGAGCGTGTCTCTTGCGGTTTAGCATTGGCATTCGCGTGCATGAGTCATCATAGCGCCAGCACTCGGCAGCCGCGTTGCAGGCACGCTCGCGTGCGTTCAGGCTACAACAACCCGGGCGACTTCGCGCAGTCAACTTTACCCTCTTCTGTTTGCTATAAGTCTCACGCGCCGCCAGTGGCCAAGCCGTGACCACATACCATCGATGGATAATCCGCAGGATCGTTAACCAGGCTTGCTAAGTCATGCACGCGGGGAAGTGAAAATCGCTGGTCTTCCCCTCAATGCAGCAGTTCTAGCTGCCTGCTATCCATCGAAACTTGGTCTGTAGTCTCTAATCCGTGTTTTTGTATATTTGAAGCTTCATGTCACTCCAGCCGTTGCAATACATTCCGGCGGCTCGGTTTCGTTTGTATCCAGTTTTCGTAGTGATTTTCTGTAGCCTCCTCAGATTTTATTTTGATCACGTAAGAACTTGTGTGATGTCAGGACTAGATAGAACATGTTAAGGTCTTCGAACACGTCAAAAATACGCAACGCAAACACAGCGCAGTCTCGGGTGACGCGGATGCGTTCTTTCACAGACGAACCTAGAAATGACCAACCTTTCCTTAATTTCGATAGTTCTCTGGCCTAGGATAAAGTTTTCGCGTGGTTTTTAAATAAACAGTGAAATTTCTTACGTCAACTAGTATATACCCACCCTATACCCATGCTATTTTACCGTTTATGTGAAGAGGGGCCGTTGTTCCTCCTGCCCCCTCCCCCACTTTGACTTTTCAACTAGTTCCGAGATAAAACCAAATGTTAAACAGATTCCTAACCAGCACCCTTAGGCCCCGGTCAGACTTCACGCGACATAATCGTTGCGATCTAATCGCCAAGATTTCCATTCATTTTCATTTCACATTCAAAAATTTCGGGCTGGAAAAGTAACACAACCGAATGCAAGTTGATCGGCATGGGATGTTGTAAAAGTTGTCTCGTCGCGATTCAGTCGCGACGATCAAATCGCGTGAAGTCTGCCCGGGGCCTTAGGGATTGGCCATAGGTTGTCGTGTTGTCGATGTTGTCGTTGTTGTCGATGTTGTCGGTGTTGTCGGTATTGTCGGGTTTGCCGAGGTTGCCGGTCGTTGTAGGACCTCATGATAGCCTCCACGTTTCGCGCGCTCTCTAAACTGTCTCTGACCCCGACAACACCGACAACTCCCACAACACCGACAACACCGACAACACTGACAACACCGACACTGAAAACACCGACAACATCGACAACATCGACAACCTATGGCCGTTCCCTTAGAGAAACACTTTCATCATTTTCATAATTAAAGGACGACACTGGCGCTCTATCGCCGGTCCTGCACGGACGTTGATGTAACCGCGATTAAATGTCCTCGAGGAACGACTCTCCAAGGACCTGTTCGGCTCTCAATTTCCGTGAAGTGTCCTTCGCTCTGTTGTGGCCCCTCATAAATTAGTCAGGGCTGTTTATCCGCACAGAAAGTGTTCGGCTGTCACAATAGCGGTCGCCTTATGATCGATTCACGGCCAGCGATGGATAAGATTCTTGAATTGAATGCTGTAGCTGTAAAGGATGTTATTTTGGATTCGGAAACTGACTCTGATACTGAGGATGAAATCGTAGCTGATGGTGGGTAGGCTGAAAGTTCATTTTTCAGTTTTGTAAAGCTTTATGGACTTTCTTGGAGGTGTTTTTGACGTGTTTTTCAGATTTGAATAAACATGACCTCAGTGAAGGAAGTCTATACAGTGACGACGATGTTGCTGATTTTGCCGACGAGTCCGGAGGTAACCTGTTTTTTTTAACTCTCACATCCTAGTCGTACCTGCGGTCAATCGATGTTTCGTCAGACTTCACAAAAAAGTACAATGCATTCCGTCGACATATACCCGGGCCCAATAGTCAACAGAGAGATGGAGTCCAAGGTTAGTGTCATACTCTTTTCCTCGATTTGTCAGTGGTAATGATTAGAGATTACGTCACCGTTTTTTTTTTCTTTTTGAAGGTTCCGTTGAAACAACTGTTGATTCCGGTGCTGATAAGAAAAGAAAACGAATAAAGGATAGAGCTGATCGCGCTACTGTTGAACAGGTAATATGCTTCGTGTTTACTTTTTTCTTTGCTTGAATTGCTCGGTGCTGACACTTGTGTCTGAGTCTGTGTTAGCAACGGAGTTGCATTGCTGTACTTAGGAAAACTCGTCTTCTGCTGCCCAATTCTTTCTCTTTCGCAATTGGCGAGCATATTGACAACCCAAGAACAAACATACCAGAAGTTTCGAGAGCTCAGTTAATCACGGTTGCGCTGGGAAACCTTAGAACTCTTATTGTCTGCCTTAGTCGATTTTGCTACTACATAGCTCCCTAGCGAGTTTTCATTGATGTTCTACAATTGGCAGCTTTTTGTTTTTTGATTTTCTCCGGCTTTCACTTGGGCTTTGAAAGTCTGCCTTCATACGGAGGGGGGGGGGAGGCGAGCAAGGGATGGGGACTATGTATGATGCAATTGCACCAGGTAGCTAAAATATGCCAGGTGTATTTTTTTGAACCATTTACAATGTCTAGACAGATGGTGAAATGGCTGCGTTCATACTGATCCAGAAGTCCGGGAACAGTTCCAGCACAGCGCTTGGAATGAGCGCTTTGTTGGAGCTGTTCCCTGACTTGGGGATTAGTATGAACGCAGCCAGTACTCGACGTGGTGACTATTATAACGAGACGGTTTCGGAGTACTGATCTAGATGTTAAGAAAGCCTCGAAATCCTCGACTTTCCATGGTACATCCATAGTTGTTTATCATTATACAGTCCAAGCAAGATTTTTGATTCTTCGTCTCCACTGTTCTGTTCACTGTGTAACCAGCAACTCCAAGTTGACTTTTTTTTTTATTTACCTTGAGCATACAAATTGAAAAAGAATGATGACAATTGATATGAGAGAAATATCGATTAAAATACTTGTGTATTAGAGCAAATAGACCATCATTTTTCTTTCTAAGCTCAAAATATATCACTTTTTTGTACTCCACGAGCAAATGCTCATTTTCTTTCTTGAAAAGTCAATCAAATGTTCCACTTCCAGGTCCGGTCCCTTTTGCTCCTTTTTAATTACCAGCGCCGTCTAATTTTACCGCTCTTTCCTAGCGCAAAGTGCTAACAGACTGCGCAAACAAGCTCATCCTCCATAAAGAGTGCAGTCCAGTTGTTCATGTTTATAGCACTACCGACACTACAGTGGACTTTATTTGACATTGATTTGTTTTGGTTAAATAGGTATCGTCTTTCCCATTTTTCACAATCACAAAAAGTTCCATTTGGCAGTGACCTGTTTGGTTATTTGTGCATGAACTGAGTGAAGGTGGATCAACACCACATCGCTCTACTTTTGGCGGTGATGGTCACTATAGCTACACGACCTGCACTTTTTGAGAAAAAAGAATTAGGTCAAAGTTGTCAGAGTTTGGACGTTTACGTTTGTGTCACTTTAAAATCAGAGTTTGTTCCTTTCAATTTTCACGATGAGAATTTTCTCTTTCGAAATTGAATTTGCAGGTTCTTGATCCTAGAACGCGATTGGTGTTATTCCGCCTCTTGCAACGTGGAACATTGACGAATATCCATGGATGCATATCTACCGGGAAGGAAGCCAATGTCTACCATGCTACTGATGAGGATCGCTCTCTAGCAGTCAAAATCTACAAAACAAGCATACTCACATTCAAAGATAGGGAAAGATATGTTGCTGGTGAATACAGGTAAGCCTCATTGTTGTATTTAACGATTTTTTCTTCATACTGTTCTTTTTTGCTCAGATATCGTACCGGTTACTGCAAACATAATCCGCGCAAAATGGTGGCTGTGTGGGCAGAAAAAGAAATGCGAAATTTGCTTCGAATGCATCAAGCGGGCCTTCCCGTGCCGAAACCGATACTGTTGAAGGTTGTTGTGGATTTGAGAGTGGTGCGCTTTATATATTGGTATTCAGGGCCACGTTTTAGTGATGGAATTTATTGGACGTGATGGTTGGCCAGCTCCTTTGCTGAAAAATGCCACCCTTACGACTGAGGTAAGAGCTCTCCTTATTTTTATTGCGCATTCTATTTCGATGTCTGTGGACTGGACAAAGGGGCTTGTCAGCATAAGATGTGATGAGCACTCTTCTGTTCCAAGCATATGTTTTCCACACGAAATTGATATCCTAGCTTTTCCAGTCTGCGCTCTGCTGCATTCCACTCTTCTAATATTTAGTTTTGCCTAGGGTTCACGTTACTGATCAGTTTGCAGCAGACACATGGTTTTGCTTCAAAGTAATTGCTACTGCACATTAGACATGTATGTCTCAAAAATTTATGCCCTGACATAAGTCAGTGTAATACGAGCTGTATCTACCTCATATAAGCTTCATATTTCTGTTCTTTGCTCACTGTATTCATAAAAGTCTGATATTTTTACGTCTAGGCCGCTGAGAAGATGTACCTGCAACTTGTTCGCGATATGCGGATTTTGTATCGAGTCTGTAAATTGGTGCATGCCGACTTATCAGAGTACAACACGCTGGTACTGGACGACAGGCTATACATCATTGATGTGTCTCAATCCGTTGAACACGATCATCCACATTCACTTGACTTTTTAAGATCCGACTGCAGTAACGTCAGCAAGTTTTTCAGGTACTTGATTGAATACATAGGGGGTAGATGTTGCCGTGATGCTCATATGTCATTACTTGAATGCCACCACACACTTTCAGGAGTCTGGGCGTTCCTGTTTTACCGACTCGCAAATTGTTCGAACTCATTGTTGATCCACTAATTGCTGACAGCGACGTAGAAAGCTGGTTCGAAATGCGGTCAGTTCTATTTCAAATCCTCTTTCAGAGTAATAACCCAATGATTTTCTGTTCCAGTACACTTGATCCGTCTGATGATGCCGTTTTTATGAGTGCATTCATTCCCCATAAGCTCGATCACGTCTTGCATTTTGAAAGAGATAGCAAGCTTTTGAAAGCCGGTGAAGAAGCTAACAATCCTTACCAAAATATAATTTCCAAGGTAAAATTTCTGGTTGAGACTTGCTATCCTATTGAACCAAAAACTTTCTTAAGGTTGATGTGCTGGGTCAAGGTTTCGATGAAGAAGCGAGTTCGTCTGACCATGAATCTGCAAAAAGTAAGGAATCGGAAGGCGAGGAGGAATTAGGCAATAAACCATTAGGAGTGGTGACTGAAGGGAAATATTACAGGTAAGCACATAAACCTATTGTTCGTGCTCTATCAGCTCTGCTATCTTTTTGTTCCTTTCCTCGTGTTGCAATCTTCGATCAGTTCCTTTCATCTTTTTCACACTGTAATTTTCATTTCGGATTATATGGCGAATCAAGCACTTATCGTTTGCGGCTTGTTTACCAACCTCCCATTGTCTGAATTTATGTACGCGGTCTCCCAGTTTCTGATAGAGGTGTTTCCGAGTCAGCACATTCGGTAGGAGATAACGCCTCGTAAAAGTGATTAGAGTTTTTTTAATGTCGTTTCTTTTTCGCGGTGGTATCATATTTTGCATATTTGTAGTCGTTCTGCAGTGCTAATAGCAAAAAATTTCATTTTACTTGGATTTTTTGGGGTTTGCTGACTAGTGAAATGAATTGATCAATAGTGATGCTGAAGGTCAAGTGGTCTTTCTAACAGGGAATCACGTTATGATGTAATTGTGGTATGATTGAAACTCGTAATCCCCTCGGCGTTTTTGATGGCTCATCTAAGTAATGGTAAGTGGTAACTTGGCCATAAGCAGCATCTAATAAATACGCTGAGAATGTTCACATTGTCATGCCCACTCCTCTTCACCCACTTTGTCCTTTCTTACGCCTTCTTGCCAAGCAATTTGTGCTGCCGCTGCATCATATTTTTTGTTTTGTCAAGGGCATTTCATACTCAGACATATCTGTAGTGACATTCTCTGATATATAACTCCTTCTTGTCAGAAGGACATATATGTAGAATGAAGCCCGTTCCATTTTTCATCGCACCATTACATGGCGCCTGAAAGAAACATTTGCATTCGTCCTTCTATGGATATTAATGCGCATATGTGAGGATGCTATATTATGGCATTTGCATCTACTATTTGCTGAGTGCGCTCAATCGATTGAAGCACTTAGAGAGAAATCCGTGATCTGTACTGTTTCGCTGCCGCCAACCAGTGCTACACTTTTTTCATCTAATTTCGTGCAGCGCTCATCTCTTATCTCGATTGAGCAGTTGCAGCAGTGTTTGCAATTTGTTCGTAATCACACAACTAAACCTAAACGTGTTTTCTGGCAATTTGCCCATATTGGAAGAACTAGGTTTATGGCGGTTTTGATTGATTTCTCATCAGTCTGAAATTTCTCTCGGAAAGCGAGGTGCAGCAGGAACCATTTAGTGGACATTTCGCTGTCATGATTTGTGGCGGTCACGTCTCACCTCGAGTGTTTTCTAGCGCCATTATGTCGAGATTCCTGTGCATTTTTCTCAGTAAAGATTTATCTGTCGGTTGCAATGGGTTAGATTTAGGGGGAGGCAGAGTGTTAGAATGATGTCAGTAATGTGGGTTTTGCCGATACTCAAAGCTTCGTTTGCTTTTTTTGGCATATCTGTAGCTTCAGCTGCCTTTTTTCTCTTTAGACATTGGTTTCGTACCACATAAAGTTCAATTTTAGTATATCAAATAGGTAAAAGCGGAATTTATACTTTCTACACATTGATTGTCCGAAAATTTGTTTTGTTTTCTTGACGGCACCAGCTAACGTAGAGAAGATAAATTCATTGCCTATTTTGCAGATAATCTCAAGATGAAAGCTTTGTAAATAATTGCGTACACCACTATTTTACCTTTTGAGAACCAGTAGTCTCTGATAATCGTATCATCTTTCTTTTTTTCCAAATCAAACAATTTCTGCAGTCAGGAAATTAGTACTAAGCACTGAAGCTGTAAAGACTTTGGAGGTTGATTTACATACCTTTTTTGCACCTGGACGTACGCTGCTTTTCGATCGTAGGCGTGGAATGGGCTTGCTTCTCTTCGTGACGTCTAGTTTATTGCGAGAAATGCGCCCCTCTGACTCAGCACTACGATTTGCGTTTTACGAATTGATCTGTCTTGGGCCTGTAGATCTAATCGAATTAGACTTCTTGTATTATTCAGACTGATCGAAAGTTCTTCTTAGACTTTGAAAATTTGTTTGTCCGTCTCATCTATTCCGGTTCCGTTTCGTGTCGCTATCGAAACACTCGGTCCACTTTTACTTTTTACTCGCGAACTCTTGCGCGCTGCTCTCGTTTGTCAATAGCTCGCGGTGCTCTCGGCGGTTATTCGATATCTCCACAAAAACCGATGATGAGTGCATTTTGAGTTTTTGCAACGAATTGACGCTTTGAGCAGTTCGAGTGACAGAACGCATTGTTCGAAAGTTATGCGGATGACTCGGCGCGATTGCGCAGTAGCTTTGCGTTGTTGTCGCGTGTCGCCAGTGAATATATGATGAGTTGCACTTGCTGACTGGTCTCACACATGCACGCTCGGCTCGCCCATCTCACTTAATTCTCTGACATCTAGCTGAATATTGATCTTTTCATAAGTTGTTGCTATATTTAGGGATCGTGCGGAAACCACTGAGCAAAGGAAGGCGCGGAAACAGGCGATAAAAGAGGAACGAAGGGAATTACGAAAGGAGAAGATTCCGAAGCATGTGAAAAAGCGTGCACATCGGCAGCACATGAAATAATCCGTGTAACAAGATATGCACGTGGTGAAGCATGTCTTGCCGTTTGCTCCCAAGGGCCCCTGGCGAGCGCCTCCGCCACCGCCGACCCCAGCTGTGTACGGAGGCGCTCAACCACTGCTGCAGCACAGCCCCTTGCATCGGCTACTTTTTTGTAGACAGTTTTCTCAATAGTCATCGACATTGCTCGGCGATCTGTTACACTGTCCAAAACCACCTCTCAAAAATCCTTTTCCCGAATCGATTCGTGCTTATCGCTTGCGGTTGCACCAATGTTGCTACCCTATCCACTTCCATGACTAACCAGCCGCTACTAATACTACTGTTCCTTACTTTCTTGCCCTGCAGTATGAAGGCACATCTACTCGAATCGAGAATGGTGAGATTTTGATGCTGTATGATAGCACAGCCCCTAATTAAGTGATTGCTCTAGTCTCGGTGCATAAGACGAACTTAGAAACGAGAAATTTGCCGCAGAAGGTACATGCTGTCCAGGAATTTCCGCCCATCGACGTAGGTGGTCTGAAGTTAACAAGTTCAAATTGCGCTGTAATGTATTTAGACTTCTCACAGATCCTCGCTCCATTAAGATTATCAGATCTTCGACGTTTTTATCTACCCTGAAGACACCTTCTGCACTCCTTAACTTCAGAACACTCACGTTGATGGGCGGAGATTCCTGGGCCACTTGTACCTTTTCGGGCGATTTTCTCGCTTCGGAATCCATCTTCTGCAGGGGGACTTGCGGGATCTATTAGTCAGGGGCTCTGCTATTATAAAGCATTTAAACCTCACCATCTTCGATTGGTGTCTTCAACTCTACTCCCATTAAGGCCAACTTGCGTCAGCATTCCATGGTTTTCCCAATCTTTCACTCTTTTTCAAGCGTCTGTCATGCTATGACGACTGCATTTCTGAGTATTGACAGTGTAGTCAGTTGCTGTTCAAGGTCTTCCACACTAAGTCAACTCTCACCATTCACACCCCAATTGGTAGTTTCGGTTTGTCTCGCCTTGCTCGTATAGAGTCGTACTCCCTGCAAGAAGTTGACATTCATCTGTCATGGAAAAAGCCATGGGGACTTGCAATGCACTGCACCTGCCGTGACATTCATTGTTCTTACGAAATCTGTCTTCCTTGATTGAGATACAGTATTGCCGCGTTTTTTGTGCTGGCGTTGAAGCGGAAAAACTATTGATTCGGTTCCAAGAGAGGAAAGTGTTTTAGCGTTTGCTTTGTGCTTTTTTACATATGTTTCTTCTCAGGTGCTTATCTTGTTGTAATTCGATTCCTTCTTGTGTCCGGTCTATGTGTCTGAATTTCATTGTAGTGCCTTCTAAAGGGTCTGCGTTAAAAAATTGCACTTATGACCCCTATCCTCCACCCTCTCCCCTTTCGTTCGCCCTTTTTCTTACTGATCTGTAATTACTCACTTTGAAAATTTTGAGAAAAACTGTTGAAAAATGATGTCAACTTAATTTTTTGGCATCCCACATTCTTTTATTGGACTGCCAGTTATAGTGTGACATATACCACAAAATCATGAGCAGCGGTGACAAATTGGATTATGGGTAGTTTTTCGTGCAATGAGGTGAAGTACACGCCCATTTTGCCTTTGCGCTGCTCTTGACGTTTATTGATTGTTGTTACCGTTATCCTTGTTGTTTTTGTTGGCACAACTGTTGTTGTTTATGTTGATTTGTTTATATTCCAAAGTATAAATATTTCGAACTATTTTGAGAGTTCAGCGATGGATCCGCTGTTTATACAGTGATAATACCTTACTTCCTGTCGTGTTTGCTCATACTGAGCTCTTTATGATAATTGTTGTTTCTTTTACAGGCCTTTGCATTATAGTTTGAAGATTGAAGATTATTGTATACGAAGAATTGATAGATGGAAAATTCTACTCGTCAAATTCAACATACTCCACCAAAACCAAGGAGGCTTGTTGATAATGCTGCTGAGGTAAGATTTGTGCGCGGCATTCCTTCTCTATACAATTTCCTTTTTTTTCCTAAAAATGACCGTTCAGCATCCGTCCACTTGAAGGCAGTGGATCGGCAAAATGGAACCTCATCAGATTTTGGTAGCGCTAGGTAGTAGACCCCTAAGTACACCGTAGCCCATCTCCACCACACAATTCATGCGCTCAGTCCTGATAACGCCCTTCAAAACCCCACCAGCCCCGCCCACTTCCATTCAGTGGGCGTTATTGGTGGAGTTTTGAAGCGTGATTCCAGGACTTAGCGCATAAATTGTAGGGTGGGGATGGGACTACGGTGTACTTAGGAGTCTACTACCTAGCTCTACCAAAATCTGATAGGGGTCCATTTTGCCGATCCACTGCCTCTAACGTAAGCATCCTCCGCGCATTTACTGCATTCAGGATGCGCTTATCCTTGCGGAAAGAGATTGAGCGGTTCATGACATGCTGAACAGTATAGTTTAGGTCCGCCGTCGAAAAGAGGCCGCTGAGCGCCTCATTAAAGAAAGGCATGAGGCGCTACGACGTCAGCATGAAGAGAAAATTCACAAAATTAATGAAGAACGTATGCGCCTACAGAGAGAATTGTAAGTGTAGAGTTGCTTTTCTTTCATACATTTGGTCTCACATTTCCTTCTAGAAAAGAGAGGCATGCAAAAGAATTGAAAAGGCAACAAGATGTACTGCAAAGGAGGATGGCTTTGATGGAACGTGACAAAGCCAGGAAGCAGGTAGTATCCATCTTTTGTGTACATTGATAGAATATGCATTCGTTTTTTTTAGGAAATCTTAGAGAAGAATCATGCTGTAGCTTCACGCCTCTCAACGAATTCATCCCGAAAAAATTATGCATTTGGTTCGTCTACTCCGCGAGAATTGTCCTTCTTGGATCCGCGAATATTAAAAATGAGTGCTATGGAGAAACGTTACTCACCAGACAAACAGCAAGTAAGATTGTCATTTTCTTTTGCGGATTTGCTCTAATTTTTTTGAAAGATTGACTTGCAGGCTATCTTAATATGAGTGCCACAGCTTTAGCGGTTCGGGTCGACACGGCCGCCTTGCAGGGGCCTTGTGCTGCGTTCGCGATCGTACTACCTTATGGTCATTTTCCCACACCTCAGCGGCTCTCATGCTGCTAAGTGTGGAAAAATGTCCAGAGGGTACGTGCGCGAACGCGGCGCAGGGCCCAAGCGAACGGCCGCAGAGATTCGAACCGGTAGAGCTGTGACACTCACTTTGAGACAGCCTGTACATTACTTCGTTGTGTGTAATAGTAAGTATAACAAGTGTATTCATCATTTTAGTCCACCAACGATGATGATTTACTTCAGTCACCACCGAACGGTGCAGTAAATGTTAGTGCCATAAATGCTCGTCGCGGTCGTTCGATGGCATCTGTGCTGTCCACATCACTGTATGATCACTCTAATCAAGATCGCACTCGTCACACAGCGTCTACAACTCGGCTCACACAACCGAAGGTAAGACATTTTTTGTACTGTTTTAGTCCTCTTTTCTTTTCTTGCCTCAAGTTTCGCAACGTACTTGAAGAATAATGTTCGCTATGCAGACCACTCCACCCAAACCACAAAACCATATGACTCAGTCTGTGTATCATCCTGCACCAACACCCACAACTCCAGTCGCACGCTTACGCAGAAAGCCACTCAGCCAAGTCACAAACAGTGTTCCGAACACTCCACTAGGTGAATCACTTGAAAAAGGAGATTCATACATTATTTCGATGCCTCTCAGTCACAAAATTTTGTCTTTACATTTCCAGCTGGCAACAATGCACCAGCCACACCTAAAAGATTCGAAAAGTCGAAGAACGCGAGGAATACTACACCAAAACATGTGGTAAGTTCTCAATTTTCTTCATGTGTTGCCGTTCGCTGACCGACATCACTCGCTTTTTTTCGCCATGGTGATGCTCATGGTAATTGCGAAACCGCGAACCATGTGAGTTTTGCTAGAAATAGCTGCAATAACGTCATTGTGGGTAGTCTTACAGCAAAAATGGTAGATTCAGAAAGTTTTTTATCTGGTATCAGGCAAGGTTCTTCATGCTGCTCGCTTTCTAATGCTTCAGAGCAACGAAAACAGGCTGCGTTCATGAATACATGAAACCACTATCGCTTGCATAAACATGCGCTTAGGGTATGCAGCATATGTACGAAAGATTAAACCATTTTGAAATGAATGGACTATATATCTTATTTGTTCATTCTGTAATTTGCAATCTTGGTAATTGATCATAAATTGTACCTCAAAATTTGCTAATGTTATTATCGGTGTTTTGCAAACTGTCAGCGACTGAACTGCAAAACATAATCTGCGTTTGAAGCATAGGGAGTTTTGTAATTGTTGAAAGGCGGTTCAATTAAGGCTTTTTGCGATTAACGTTAGTTTTCTACCTTTACTGGAAGTTTCGCTTCTGAAGGGCTGCTTTATGGACACTTAGGCTAGGCTTCATTTACATGCCCAGCATTTATGGTCATGGCAGGTACCACCTGCTTGAAATGTTATCCGAAAGAGGGATTCTGCTTGCGTGCACTTTCCAAAGAGGAAAGCTCTAGAAAAAAAGCTCATTAGAAATGACTCTGCCCCCGGTCTAATCAATGAAGTGTCTCATTTTCTGCTTGTTTCAAACGGCATCTGGACATAGTCCTTTCCTCTCTAACTAAGAGGATTTGAAATCTTTATAAGTTTTATTTTAGGCGATTTTCAGAGCAGAGTTAGTAATCTATTTTCTTCAGGCTAACAAAAAAGCGCCAACTCCACCTCCGGCAGGATCTACTTCTCCTCAGCGCAAGGAAAGCTTGGCGAGATCGGACGATATCTCCACACCTCTTGGAGTTACAGCTTCGGAACCCCCACGCAGCGAAAATTCCTTCACATCAGACGAAATTCCAATTGATATGGCTGAAAAAGAAGTTCATTATGAAATCTCGGTGGATAGTCCACCCGCGGAAATGCACGTAAGTGGAAACTTCTTGCTCGTTGTTTGTGCATTTTGACATCGTTGGCTCGTCTAGCACCATGAAATCACACCAAATGGTGCCGAAAATCATGACGTCCATGAAAATCCATCAGAAGCTGAAGAAACCACGCTTGTCAATGAGGTTGACGTAGTGATTGAACCACCTGCCGCTGTCATCAATCACGTAAGGGCTTTCAAGTTTTCTTTCTTGTGGCATAAATCACATGCTCCATTTCAGGCGGAACAGGCTAGCGAAGAAGAAGCCGTTGCTGCAACGTTCACGAAAGATGTCGTCATCACCAGTCCAACTCCGGCAGCAGACGAACAGGTGAGCTGGAAAATGAAATTTGCGAAAGGAGAGGGTTATTTTATGTTTTAGCTCATCTCGCCTGTGCCAAAATCGTCAGATGTTGAAGCTATCCCAGTGGCTGAAATTGCATCACCATTAATTGCAGCCCCAGCTCCACAGGAGGCAAGCAATTCTAGATCCAATTTTCTTTTTGTAAAAGAGCTGGTAATTCTGCAGGGAGGCGCTTCGCTCGCCGACGAGCTGGCCAGTGTATTTGGTGGCTCAACCCCTGCAGTTGCGCATGAGCAAAACGATGTGCAGCAGCCTCCGGTAACCGATTTTTTGCTTCTTTTTTCTTGAGAATTTTTTGTAAAATTTTGTTCAGGTAATAGTCGAACCACCGAGTGTTGACATGTCAGCTGTTATTCAAGCAGCAGAGAATGCGCTACTTACACTTACTAAAGCTCAAGAGGCACCTCTGGTAGAAACGGCCCCAGAAAAGGCTATGGAGACGCCTGCAGCGAAAAAAAGCGCAGAAATTGCACACGCAGAAATGCCCTCAGAAAAGGCTGAAGTGGAAAAACCCGTGGGAAAAGTTTCTTACGAAAACCCGCTTATCGATTTCAGCACTGCAGGTGAAGAGGAAAGAAACAAGTCACCTTCCAGTGTAAGTTTTCTTATTCTCGATTTCACTAGAATATTTCCTGCACGTTGATCTCTTTAGATATCTGCGGAGCCTGTACATACAGAAGTTATTAATCATGTGCATACAAATGGAATCGAGCACAAAGCTCATCCAGAAATAGCTGCGGAGCTTCCGGGTACTGTTCCATCGAAAGACGGCGATGCGTCCGTAATGAGGAAGGTGCCAACACCTCCTAATGACTTTCTTGTAAGTTTGTTTTGCATAGGTTTTGCTACCGAAAATCTATTTCGAGTTATAGATAAGTACACAAGCTCATCGATTGCGTCGTGAGCAAGAACAGCGTGAAATCGACGAGCGCAAAGCCCGGATTGCTGCGATACTTGCGAAATCACGCGATTTATCAAGTGGTGCTCCCGTAGTGGGTGGACGAATCTCACCTCCGCGAGGTAATCCAGCAATTTTTTTCTTACATCGTATATCTCAGCGCGACGCCATTTGCATTATTTTGTCTTGAAAAGGGCGTTTTTATAAAAGTTTGTGTCTTGGTTTTTTTCATTCCAAGAAAGGTTTTTTCAAACAGCCTTTCTTCAGTCTCTCCATTGTTGTCGCTCAGTGCTGCAATATTCCAAAATTTCTGCGACCATGTTATTACGTCATCTTGTGCAACAAAGGGCTAAAAAGTAGTAAATGTTGTCAAAAGCTGATTGATGTTATACAGTAAGCGTTGAAGCGCTGAAATGAAACGAAAAGCTGGTACATCTTTGATCGAAGTCCAAGCTCGATTATCGATGAATCTTGGCATGAGGTAGTTATTTGTATCCGTATTCTATAGCCAGTAACCAAGATTGTTAATACGCTTTATTCACTCAGGCCTGAGTGAATAAAGCGTATTAACATCTTGGTAATTGGCTATAGAATACGAATAGAAATGAAAAGCGTTGAAGCCGCGGAATTATAGTGAAAATTACTAGTTAGTTCGATTATCCACACAGGCAGTCAGACGCATCGGGACTTCGTAGCAGTGCACGCAGTCAGTGAAAGCGTCTGCGGTCAGCGCTGCGACGCAGTCCCAATGCCTTGTTCAGTGATATGAAGCGGATGTCTCGCAAATGTGCCCTCAAAGTATCGATCGGCTTTGTACACGTTCATTTAACAGCATTTTTTCGATGGAGTAAATCAGGTAGGAGGGGGGGGGGAGGGACAGAGGGATTGTTCAAAATTTGCCATGGCTTGGCACGTTTCCGTAGTCACACATTAATTCCGTAGAACAGCAATCATTTGCTGCTTCCTTGGAAGGTTGATGGTTCAAGGTAAGCGAGACCATCATATGAAACGATATTTGCCACAAACCCCGTTTTTCATTTTGCCTAATGTGAAGGTCTTCTGAAATTATCTGCCAAAAAACGATTTTCAAGGTGAAACCGCACAAGACGTGTTGAAACGACTTGCGTCTAACGGAAACATTCCGGCTCTACAAAAACTCGTCGCACGACGTACAACACCAGAACCACCAGCAATCGATCAGGTGGGTAAGAATTTTATGGACTGTAAAGGTAACACTGCGGTACGAAGGAAAAGTGAGGAATAGAACTTTTTTTGCACTAAATTCTCGTGTTATACGGTAGATACGTCGCGCTGTACCTCAATCTTCTTATTGCATTTTGAAGCAGATTTCAAAGAATTGCTAGACTTTGTTGAGGCTTTTGAAATAAAGCAGTGGGTTTAATGATTTTGAGCCCTTGAAAGCACCTTTTTTTGGATGATGGATGACCATTGATGATGGAAATGCATTGGCCAACGCATAAAGTATCGCGTCTTTTCTATCTGTCTTCGCTGCATACTTTCTATGTTAAAATGCCGGAGCTCTAATGTTCAAAAATGAGCTGCAAGTTCACTTTATGACTCCCAGATCTTTTCGTCTTTAGATCGCTCCCGAGGATCCAGCCCCGCAGGCAATTTAGTCCTCTTGTCTTCGGCGTTTGCGTCTGATTGTTACTACTCGACGGGTTTTCTATTGGTGAGTTTCGGAGCAAAGATTGTGTATAATGATGTTTGATTAATCCGAACTGTATTGCAGATCTTTGTTCTACATCTCATCGCATTTCGATAAGACAATGTTCTACGAATTGAACAAGTTGTAACAGCTTGGCGATGACGATAATATCCACTGAATGTTTTTTTTTTGTTTGATTTGCATTTTTAGTGGCATTATTGCGTCATATATCATGTGCTCATTTATTCATATAAGGTAAACTTACACATTGTGAGAGAAAAGCACTGGTCATGGTTTGCACACCCGTTGTTGTGGTACGTTTTGCCTTGCATTGCCCCGTGTAGATCTAAGCTTTATACTTCTAACCTTCTTAAAAATGTCACAAATCAATAAATTTCTATTGCATGTGTCTGTAACTCTTGCTTTATTCCTATGTCTCATTTCGCTTTAGCGTAGTCAGGTGCTGCTCATTAGTGTTCGGCTTGTTTTATATGCTCACACACTTTTCGTGTATTGCTGGTCATTCACACATTGTGAGGTTCAAATCTTCTCAACTATTACTTCTTTCTTTTTCTTCTTTTTTGTTTGTTTATGTTTTCTTCTGTTTTACATTTTCGTACTGACACGCCTTTGAACACGAGACATCACATTTTTCTCTGGCGACTTGCAACGTATGACTTTTATATTCTCCGGCTAGAGAAAGCACATTTATGATGTACTTACCTTCAAATTCTCCTGCTAGAGAAATTATGGTGTACCTATTGTCGTCAGAACTTTGTTCAATTCTGATATGTGTGTATCATATATGAATAAACATGTACGAAGTTTTGCTGAGTTGCCGTTTTATTTCACAACTTCTGGGTTGCTAAACCGTAACTTATCTCTACGAGCCGGACGGACGCGTCATTGTTTACTGGGAGCTTCCCACCGCACACACCCTTCCCACCACCACTGAGGTCATTATTCACGTATTGATTTGCAGAGTCTGTAGCACAACAGCGCCGTTCCCCCGACATCGATCGCACTGTCGTAATTTCAGCGTGTTCGAATGTCGTTCCCATCCTATAATGCTATTTGAATTGTGTAAGTGCTAGGAACGTTCGTATTTTTTGGCATAATCTTTTTTGATTTGCTAATTTTCCTTTTACCTCTTTCTACTTGGCTACGGGGTAGTTTACATACAACTCAAAGGTTGTTCTACCCTTTCTGCGAGTGATACAAACCGAGATTAGTGTGGTTTCATACCCGATCTAAGAAACGTTCTTTTGTGGGCCACTAAACAATTTTTGTGTTGTTACTACTAGAAAATCCCTTAGGTAAGATTGATTTTCTGCACGTGAATGATTTCCCAGGCAACTGTCACTGCAAGACCAGGGCACTCGAGAACGCTTCTTGTGTCTGATTGACTATTTTATACTCGTAATGTGTCTTATTTTGGATAATTTACTACGTGGAATTAGGAAGGAACGAGTTTAAGCTTGTTTAGACAAAGCGTTCTGTAGTCTCGTAGTTTTGGAGTAAAGATTCAAAGATTTTTTTTTTGTAATGATTAGTCGAGTTTATTTGAATATCATCGCCTCAATCATGGCTTTGGATTCGGATACGGAAAGTTTTCATTATCTATAGAAAGACTGAATACTATCCATTTCTAGCATTTTGCCTACAATAATTTGCGGCAAAACTGTCCCGCCTTTTTGAGCGCATGAGAATCTGGAGCAGCTCTGAGCAGTGGGAAATCTCTCAGATTTCATGGTTTTAGAGAATCGAGTTTCTTCGCTATTTTTTAATACTGTGTGCGCTTTATCAAGTTGTTTGTTTCATCTCTCAGAAATTTATATGATCACATAGTGCATGAACTGGAGTAGGAATTTTACAAACTATGGAACCTAAGAAACCGATGGTTTGTACCCTAGCAAGTCTTTCACTTCAGCTGAGACGTTTTACCACGTGTAGTAAGGAAAGACAAGTTTTTGCTTGTACATGCGTTGGCGTAGCTTTCTCTTGCCCTTAGTTATTTCGCTTGATTGCTGCCACTACCTTGCGCCTTTTTTGGTTACGGGTGAAAATTTTTCTCAGTAAACATTGGAGCTTTTTTTTGTGAGATTTCCGTGTCCAAGCTGAAAAGCGTTGTACAGTTTCGGTATGCGTTTCCAACTGCAATCTCGACTGTGAATACTTTTCAGTCTGAGAGTAAGAGACTCTATTGCACACTTATCCACCAAGCGCAAACATGTCTGTTTCGTTTTAAAGGGCCTGGCATACATTGCGCGATTTCAGTCGCGACGCGATTTGGCAATTTGCCAGAAGTTTACAGATCCAACACTAGCAAACTGCACATGCATAATCTGTATAACTTACATGGCGTGATAAAATGCCCTATCTTCTGTACGTTTGAAAGGTGTTTACAGTGAGTTATGAACAGTTGGAATATTGCCAGATCGCGTCGCGACTGGAATCGCGTGAAGTATGCCCGGCCCTTGAAGGGTAGATCATCCAAAATGAGTTGAAAAAAGTATGAACTCGTTAAAAGCGTTCTCGAGTATTAACCTATCTTTCTCAGAAGGATTGATATACCATCTTGATGTTTTTGCGTTTTGGTAGTAAATTTTCACTGCTGAAAGGATATCACAGATTATAACCAATTGCCTTCTGTTTTCCGAAGGTTATAAATTGCCTCCAATCTGTGCATGTGCTTCCTCACTGTCCTCACTGCATGTGTTTCCTCACTCACTTTCCATTGGCCATCGGAAAATTGTACATAGGATTTGATCTTTAGTTTATCTCTATTCTGCAAATGTTTTAGGTGGATGACAATATTGCCGAGACGGATTCTGTCGTTGAAATGGAACTGCACCATTCCAAAGCGTGGATGTAGTGTCGGAACTCCACTAGAACTTGTCTCAGCTCGGTACGGTGACCCGTCGAAAGATCGTTCTCGTCCTCCACTAGTCATTTGTCATGGACTTTTTGGGCAGAAAAATAACTGGAACAGTGTTTCGAAGACAATGCAGCGCCGTCTTGGCTGCACAATCTATTGTGTGGATCTTCGAAATCATGGCGAATCGCCGTGGTCGGATACTATGAGCTATGATGAAATGGGCGAGGATTTGGCAGCTTTTTTGGGAAATATCTGCAAAGAGACGGGTTTTTCGCAATTTCACCTGCTTGGACATTCTATGGGCGGGCGGCTGGTTATGCGTATGGCTGTCCATCCATCCTGGCAGCGGCTTATTGATCGTTTGATAGTTGAAGATGTGTCGCCAAAAGTTTACGATCTGGATTTTAAAGCCCACGTAACATTCCGGAGTTATATCCATGCTATGGCGGCGTTGGACATGACGAAAAGCCGAAAAGAATTGCTGAAAGAACTGGAGCACATAGTGCCAGATATTGGGACTCGTCAATTTCTGCTCACCAACCTGGCTCCCAGTGAGAATGGCGTTTCCCGTTGGCGCTGTAACCTGGAAGCTATAGACAAGAATCTAGAAGGAATTTTGAGATTCACCGTTCCTGATGGAGTGTTCAAAGGTCCCACCTTGTTTGTTTATGGAGAAAAATCTGGGTATATTCGAGACCAAGATCGTGATTATGTTCGTACGTTATTTCCCGATGTGCGATTTGATAGCATTGCGAATTCTGGGCATTGGGTTCACGCCGAGCAACCTGATGCTTTTATGAATAGCGTTTGTAGATTTTTAGAATAGGATAGGGGGGCCGTAGGTTCGAATAGTTCTTTTGCATTCTAGAATTCATAGTTCTAGCTAGTTCTTACGCTCATAATACCATCTATACTAATAATAATATGGTCAGTATATTGCCAATATGCTTTTCATAATAATTGACTGATGACAGAAGTGACATGTCATAATTTTTCAGCTGATGAGATAGGTGCCATGATCTCTTTCATTAAATTCGCAGATGAGTTGATTTTGAGCTTGCTTGGAGATAGTTTTGCGATCAGTAAAGATTAATCAAAGTGTTTTCATTGTTATGAAAGAGTTCATTTCTCGATTATCTATTAGTCATTTTGAAGGTTTTGTTTTTATTTGAGGTGTGCGGAATTTGCTTATCTTTCTGTCACTACTCATGTGCCTCTTATTTTTTGCACACTACTTTTACAGCCGAGTAGATATTCCGCTTAATTTAGTGTGCTTGCACAGTTTATGGAATGCGGTAAAATTTGCGCGTGAACAGGTAGCTGCGCCAGCACTGCGGGTAATTTGCGCGCGCAATTGGCCGGCGTCACAGTCGAAGCTGTTTCCTCACGAGCAAATTTTACCGCATTCCATAAACTGTGCAAGCATACTATATTAAGTAGAAAATCTACTCGACTGTACATCATGAGTCTATAACCTCAATGTCTTGCATTCATTACGTTGTTTATGACTTCTTTTATTATCATGAGTGGACCACAAACACTCTCCAAAACCTTGACAGCGTCTTTTGACAGCTTGTGATGCAGAAAAAATGCTTGGACAGAAGCTTCGCTTGCAGAATTTCTAGTCACCGTAAATCGTGTGCTTCTGTCTCGTTTATACTTCTTCTGCAATTGATTCGTCCATCATACATCTAACGCTATTCATTTGTTGAAGCTCGATTTTTTTTTGAGAGGATACAGTTGTCTCCTAGAGCAGGCCTCAGAATTGCTCTTTCATGAATGCATTGTGTTTCCCAGTGTTATTTCAACGTTTATTCTTCCACTGATGTAACACTGCGCGACAAATCTCAAGAAAGTTTGTAGAAACTGTGCAAAATGGCCAGTTCTGACTTTCACGCCGCACTGATAATATTGTGTGCAATCGCACCTATTAGAGTTACGAAACGACTCACTTGGATCTAAACTGAAGTTCGTACTCTAGAATTAGCATTTAAAAGCTTTAGAAGTTAGCTACTAGCATTGTCACCGTATCCATCTTCTTTAGCGCAGAAATCAAGCAAAGCGAATACCGTATTATACCGTATTCATTTGATGCTCATTGTCCTTTATCTCCTTTGAACTAGCTCAGGTGATCCGCTTCCTTTTTTGTTATTTTGACTATTTAGCTCTTCCTTCATTTACCAATCAAGCATCCTAAATTCCCAGTGCCCGGAATTGTCACGAAAAGGTTTAGAATCCGTGACTTCTTGCTTGAACTGTTGTTCAGCCTCCTTGAGTTTATAGCGGTAGGGAACGGCCATAGGTTGTCCTTGTTGTCGGGGTTGCGAGGTTGCCGGTCGTTGTAGGACCTCTGATGGCCTCCACGTTTCGCGCGCTCTCTAAACTGTCTCTGACCCCGACAACCCCGACAACACTGACAACACCGACAACCTATGGCCGTTCCCGTAGAGACTACACGCATTCATCCTAAAGATTGGGGAAATTGTGCATTTACACTCAATTCCTGAATACTTGACGTCGAGTATATCAGTTCATCGATTCTGGACGCTTGATTTGATAGGGGTAATTCGAAATGAGGCATGGATCCTCTATTATAATAAGCTGCTCTTCTGATTATATTGCCTACCATTCTTCACGCTGCCTACGCATTTCCTTTCCTTTCCTCCCCTTCTACGTAATATTTGAGTCTCTTCTACTCATACTCAGGTTTTTTTTTTCCTTCTCAATTGTTATAGGTGGATGACGGTACTGTCCAGGCGAGTCCTGTCGTTGAATTGGAAGTGCATCATTTCGAAACGACAATGTAGCGCTGGAGCTCCGCTGGAACTTGCATCGACTAGATATGGTGACCCATCGAAAGACCGTTCACGTCCACCTCTGATTATCTGTCATGGACTTTTCGGACAGAAGCACAACTGGAACAGTGTCTCGAAGGCTATGCAACGACGTCTCGGTAACATAATTTATTGTGTCGATTTACGAAATCATGGCGAATCGCCGTGGTCGGATGCTATGAGCTATGAGGATATGAGTGAAGATGTGGTGGCGTTTTTGAAGAATATCTCCAAAGAGACGGGTTTCTCGCAATTTCACCTGCTTGGACATTCTATGGGCGGGCGACTTGCCATGCGTATGGCAGTCGATCCGTCCTGGCAGCAGCTTATTGATCGTCTGATAATTGAAGATGTGTCTCCTAAGGCTTATGATACGGATTTTGATGCACATGTCATATTCCGCAATTACGTCCAGGCTATGGCGAAGTTGGATCTGAAAAAGACCAGAAGGGAGCTGCTCAAAGAATTAGAGAACATTGTTCCAGACAGTGCCACACGCGAATTTTTGCTTACTAACTTGGCTCCCATCGATGGTGGTTTCCGTTGGCGCTGTAACCTTAAAGGTATTGAGAAGAATCTGGACGGAATTTTGGGATTCTCTGTTCCTGATGGAAGATTCGGAGGTCCAACCTTGTTTGTGTATGGAAAGAACTCACAATATGTACAAGATAGTGATCATGATCATGTTCGTGCGATGTTTCCCGACTCGCAGCTCTATGCGATTGCAAATTCTGGGCATTGGATCCATGCGGAGCAACCTTATGAATTTATGGATAGTATTTGTAAGTTTCTCGAGAAATCTTAGTTCATGTGCAAGTTTAGCTGTGATACTTACTAATTAAGTTATGCAGTACTAAAATATGATCCAAAGTTGCCTATATGCCTCAATTTTATTGAGCTTTTGTTGTTTACGATCTCCATATTCGAGAGAGGATTCCAGGCTATGAAATTGAAATTTCTAGGTTATGAAATTGGTCAAATTGATGCTCAGTAAAGATTCGACATTCTGTTCACAATTTTGTGAAAAAGAGTTTCTCTTTGAATATCTGCAATATGTTATTTGACGTTCATTTTTGTTTGTGATCACGTCCTTGTAGTATTTGTGTTTACCCCATTTTTTGTCGCTTATGAGATAGCTATAGTCATGAGTGATTCAACGTGCTGATATTATAGGTGTAAGAACTTCCGTTCCGAGTTGCTAGTTTTTTGTCTCTAGTTTGGCCCTGCACGCAGTTTAGCGGGTGGGTCCGGTTTGGGTTTCAGAGCAAGTATGTACGCATCTCAGGTTAGACACGAAACATACAGTCGGTATCAACCATATGTTTCCTTTTCCGTAGTAGCTACGTAGTTGCGTGTGGGCATTGTGCGATTTGAACGCTCGATCGGTAGGGATCGGCCATACTATTCCTGCTATTCCTACGATTCCTGCGATTCCCGTGATTCCCGCACTGTTTAGACGCCGCTTAAATGAGCGCGTGTTGCGTGAAACAACACGTAACACGCAACAGGCGCTCATTTAAGCGGCATATAAACTGTGCGGGAATCACAGGAATCACAGGAATAGCAGGAATAGTATGGCCGATCCCGTACGCCCGCGAACGTCGCGCGGGCTCCAGCGTTGCGCTTGAGATGATCGGCAGCGGAGCGCATCCTTGACGCGGACTGTAGGTATGTAGACACCATATTAATAGCTGATTTGATTGCTGCATATATCGTTAGCATCAGTAAATTCATTGGACCTATCGGTGACCTGATCCAGTCGTGTCTTAGTGTGTGTACTGCAGAACACGCGCACCGTCGTACGCCTTACAGGGCTCCTAAATTGCAGAGCCGTTTGCACCAGCGGTCGCGCGATCGCGTCGAGCCCGGGTATCGATGGCGCCGGCGCCGGCAAAATGCCCGGGCGCGACGCTGTCGCGCGACCTCTCGTGCAAACGACTCTGCAATTTAGGAGCCCTGTACGTTCCCTGTGAATCGTCATTTTCTGGTGTTTTCTGCCCGTTTTCAAGGTGTTATACATGTGTAGATTCAAACGGATCCAAGTAATAATCTCTTGTCGGTCTGCTTCATCTAAACGTTGCAGTAACATACTAAGATTGTGGAGCCGTAAAGTTTCATGTGTTGTCTGCAAGCTTATATATCACTATAAATACACGCCATACTCGGTCCGCTTGATCCTCTTCGTAAAGAAAGCGCGCGTACTGATTTGTCTTTTGGCTCCGCTTAGATAGAAAATATTTCTCCTATAGTCTGAGCAAGATCGCTGTGCGCGACGCCAAATGGCAATTTAGTAAGCGTGCGTTTTTCACGAGTAGGATCAAGCCGTCAAATATGGTGTGCGCCTCAGGCTCGTTCATACTTTTCCAGAAGTTCGGGAACAGCTTGTGCATAGAGCTCGAATTTAACGCTGTGCTGGAACTGTTGCCGAACTTCCGGATCAGTATAAACGCAGCCTTACGAATGCCTCACGTAATTCATAGGACCAGAATGAATTTTACGCTTGAACTGTCAAAGTTGTCACGCTACCTCGCACCATACGATGAATTATAACGATGATTTCATTGTGCCACTTGGAAGAGTTTTTGTTGATATGAACTTCATCGTCGATTTTGCCCTAATTTGTTTTACAATAAAGCTCACACAAAGAGGATTGAGCTAGCATAACAATATGTGTTATTAACTAACTCATTATTAATTACCAATCTGTCACATCTGAATTAGGAAGCGGGTCATAATGCCGTCATTTAGCTCTCTTGTAGAGCAGGATTCTTTTCCAGTTGACGTGTATGTATTCCTTTCCGCTGTGGTTTATAAGCAAGTACTTTAATTATTATTTAAGTCTGCATTCGCAGCTTACAAAAAGCGCTTGCAGGTGCTCTTTTTTTTTGATTGAGTACGCGGTTACTGAGAAAGAGGGTTGGATAATTGGGATACAGTTGCACAGCTTGGGTAATTGCGTGCATTTTTGCAAGGCCAAGCAAAAAGTGACCTTTTTTTTATGACTACTAGTTTCCTCCATTCCTTTTGCAGCTGAAATTACTCGGTAATTGCCGTCATTGTGGAAGCCTTTCAAGCTTTCTGGTTAACTATGACAATATTTTTGGCTTAACAGTGCTAGTAAGTTTTGGTTCTGAGATTGCGCTGCTGACAGCGTATGTTACAAATAAAATGTAAGTTACCTAGACTGATTTATTCGTTTGCATTTTCTGTTTTGGCTATGCAGCATTTTGCTTTTAATTAATTTGATTCCTATTAAGAATATTTACCTATTGTTAGTGACTAATTTTGAAGCTTCAGTCTTTTAGTTATACCACTGTTGTTCTCAATTCAATTGTAAGCCTTAGTCTATGGGAATTTGTCAACCTAAATCGAACCCTTTCTTTTCTCAACTTTTATTAAATGACATGTTCATTCATATGTTTGTCCACGCGACATCTTTTAAGCCAACACGTTCGAGCAAAAACCCTTTTTTTTTCGAAAGTACGGCTTCCGGGTAAGTTGATTGATTGCTAAGCCAGTACTTGTTTTATGTTTGTTTATCTTATCTTCTCCTCCATGCAAACTTCAAGGAACTAGTTAGTCAAATGCTAAGGAATGACATTTCGTTCTTGGCTCGCTCTCGATTGTTTGCACGCGTCCATCTTCGCGTCCCACTGGGACCATTACTTGTTTGATTTTAGCCCTCGGGGAATTGACTAACATAATCGTGTTTTCGCGTGTACAGACAGGTTTATGTTTCAACTTGTATGGACATGTTAACACTATCATTTGTAAAAGTTATAGGTGACATTATCACTTTCATCTGTTTCTCATCGAGGTCGGTCGTTCGATCTTATTCTAAATTTGTTCGGTCTCTATCGCCCCTCCCCCCCCCCCCCGCTCTTCCCCCCACCTCGCCAACCATTTCTTCCTCACTGCTCTTCGCTCCCTTTCACGCCTATATCTACCTCAAGGCTGTCGTTTTCTTTGCCTTTCGCTGTCCGAAGTGTCTTCTTTTGGTTTTTGCATCTCGTTAAAGTAGGATTCCGAATGCGATTAGCCGCTGTGCACTTGTCTGATCCATTATTTGTCCCTGCACGAGCTTCCTACGGTAATGGCTTCTTTTCAAGCTTGCTTGATGTTCATCTCTTTGAAATTATCGATGTGGCAGCGTCAATTCAACTCGTATCGTTTTATTTCCTCCGTCCAATAATGAATTGCAAATACTTCATTACGAAATAAGTGTTCACTATTACAGATGACAGATAGTGTTGTTGGTGAACAAAAACTCTTGAGCGAATTGCGTGTGACGGAATTGAAGCAGGAATTGGAAAAGCGTAATCTGGACAAGAATGGCATCAAAATCATCCTCACTGACCGGCTTGAGAAGGTACGGCACAGATTATCTGTAATGAACAAAGTTTTCAATTGCTTGACTAAATATCGAATTAAATTACTCCCTAGGAAGTGGGGAAGGAAATTCTAAGCGTGCCATTGAGCAAAAAACTGAGTTGCGTGATTGAGAGCCTCTTCCTGTGAGCAGCAGAAGAGCTGAGAGTTGCGATTTGGAGTGGGTTGAAAGGAAGTGGAGAGCTCAAGAGGTGAAGGAAAGGGAGGAAGTGGAGCGAAGATCCGCATTTTCTTCATAACATAGTTACGCAGGCGAAAATGTAATTTGAAATTAGCATTGTCCCAAGGAACAAGCTTGATTGCATCTAATTTTGAAGGAGGAAGTAAACTTTTCCTTTGTTTTCCCCTAGTATCCATAAACTTGTCACTCGCAATGCGCTAACATAATCCATCTAGCTCTGGGAGGTTTTTGTGTGACATTGGAGAATTGGGACTTTTACTAATAGTCCCGAAAAACGTTTTCAATTTCGAAAAAGCCTTTAGCAAACCCATATACAGCTCATCGAACTGCATTTTTTCTCTTGCAAAAGTTTCGGGATCTCTGAAGGCTTCATCAGTCTTCATAGGCGGTATTTTTCTCGCCGAGTTTGTATGTGAATAGGGCGCTCGATAGTCTTTTTTTTGTAGCTCCGAGTACTTCGGGTGAAAGTAGTGGCTATTGAATAGCCTGCATATGCATTGATTTTGGTTTGGAGAAATAATTGGAAGAGAAAGTGCGCCCTAGCGACAAAGTTCCTTGTTTTTATTCTTTTTTTTTTTGCGCTTTGAACTTTGAGTTGGTGCTTCCTTCTGTGTTTGAATGTGAATACAGTATATGAATTATTGATGAATACATCAATTGAATTATATATGCAATAGGAAGAACCATAAAGTTGCCATTGCTGCCGTTGAAAATTGATCACTGCCAGGGAATGTTTGCGTTTCATTTTAAGCTGTGGAAGCGCCTTTAATTGAGTTTGGCAGTGGACATATGGAAAAACAAGCTGCTGGTGTTGCTCTGGAGGTTTCGTTTCAGTGTGATGTGGGAAATGTGATGAATGAAATGATAGATCATTTGATGTATGGGTTGTATGCTATGTGTAGAATGAAAGATGATGAGTTATACCTATGGGGCCACTTCGTTCAATTTGGTTATCATGTAGGCATCAAGCGTTTTGTTTGGATTGCTTTATGTGAAAAGATTCTTTCTCAACATAGAAAAGCCGAAAGTTTTGTTACCTTTGGCTCACGGATGAACACGTATTGTGAATGATGCAAGAATTGCGAGTCCGTGACTGAATTTTGTTTTTGCATCGACGGTGCAAATGTGTTGCAGTGACGTAGAGTGAATCCTGATGAAGCTAAGGCATCGAATGCACGTTCCAGGTTGCTGTGTTTTAAGAAGAACCTGAAAGATGTACTTTTGATGCAAAATGTGCGGTTTTTCCAGTGTATTCAGTCTTTTCTGGATAATGTGAGGATATATTTCTCTCTGAAACATGCTCGTTGTGCTTCAGAGGAACAGTTTATGCGCTTCAGAAAATGAATTATCGCGAAACATCCAGTCAGTGGCGCGGTGATATGGTGTTTTTCTTAGATAAATGGTTTCCAAGTCCAAATATGGGAAAGATATATGCGTTCGAGTTAAAAGGTAAATGCGCAGGGGTAACGCAGTATGTGAGCCTACACACTGCGCGCGTCAACCGACGACACCTTATTAGTAACTATCGTAACTAGTCGGTAGATCCTTTTATAGAAGAAAAATTATGGGGATCTGTGCTACTACCTAATACTTAACCAATCAAACCAAAAGAGAGAATAAAACAAGTAGAAATCACCGAAAATCAACAGGTTCTATACTCATAAGTCGCAGATGGTGTGCAATACACACATTAACTCACATCCGACGTTACTTTGGGAGTTATTTCTATGGAATGTTGCCAAAAGTTGTTAAGACAAGAGCTGCCATACCTGGAAGTGTATCGTTCCTGTTCGAAGTCGGTTCCACCACCGTCACGAGCCTCGTTAAGACTCGACCCAAATACAGCACGACAAACGCTGACTTTGCCACAGACAACAATTCGTGACAACTTCCGAAACGTCACCTCAGGATTTAGTCGGCCAGCCGACAAAGCCACATGGCAGGCGATGCAGATTGTACAAGGCGATGCGTACTCGGCAATTTGAAACAGTCCCAAACGTCTCGCTTCCGCCGCCAGTCGTCCCCAGTCGTCAAAGTCGTCGGGCACAATTAGTCTCTGGTCTGCGCGACGAAGCGCGTCCAACATAATAGCGATGATTTTCGCATCGGAGTTGGACGTAGCTTTGTTATCTGTGCTCAGCTTGGAGTAGGGCACGCGGGCCAGAGTCTCCTTGGTCGTCATCAACGTCGTCCCATCGGCACATCGTAGCTCAACGACGCTGCTCATGGCATAGAGCTCCGACAGCGTTTGCTCTGCTCTACTCCGCCCATCACTCTTTTGCTTCACAGCCACGCCCAGTTTGTTTTTCCGAACTCATTTCGGAGAAGTATGAGAGAGCGCTAAGGGCAGCAGGACTTATAATCCATAATTCTAATGAGAAGTCAAAGCGTGGGAAGAAGATTCATGGAGTCAGAAGACCAAGGATGGTGGGGAGGCGAAGGAGGAGCTTTTTTTCATGCAAAAAGGAACGGATGCATTCCCGCATTGACTGAGTCAATTAGGGATTTGCATGGGTTGCATTAGCAAATGGAAACGAGGGGTTGAGAGCGATAAGACTGCAAAACAATTATGAAAGAGATGCGCTTGATACTGCTATAAATTGGGGAGTGATTTGAGAAATTTGAGCCTTCTTTATTTCTGCTTGTATATAGTAGCAGTTTTCTTATGCAGCCTAGAAGCTTGTAGCGGACTTGACGTATCTAGGTCGTTTTGTATCCTATACCCCATTTGTTTGATGGCTGTTGTTGTACGTATCTAGGACAACGTGATTAATACCCTTTTCTCACATTTCATTTGTTCTTCCTGTGAAATTTCTTGAAAAAGGAGTGAAGGAGATTGCCAGCAGAGCGTTGCCAGTTTTGTCTTCATTGGTGCAGCCCGCGCTCTATTGACATAGAGGATAATTTGCATATTGCGCGCATGTGTTCCTCTGAGAGCCTGAGATCCTCGGATGAATCTAGTGCCTTGCACTTATAAGCCATGGAAGAACTTTTCCATACAATCCAACTTTTGCGTCCTTTGTCCTACTAGAAGTCATGCGGGCAGCACTGGAGAGATCTTACCTTTGCAGTAAAAAGCTGCAGAAAACAAATAGAAATAATGTCTTAACTGTGGTGCGATAAACCTGATTGGCTCAAACAAATGAGATAGTAAAATTGACGGCTTATATAATGCCGGTGCCAATAGCATTGCGCGTGTCGAGTAGATTTGTCGCAGTGTCCTGCGGTGCCGAGACTTTACGGTAAAGTTATTGGGTGCAAAATACCAGCAATTCAAGCGCAGTATCGCGAAGTCTCGGTACCGCAGTGGCAGTATATCCACCAACAGATCTACTCGACTTCTGATGGCAGTCCCATAGTGCATAATTTGGAGTTCTGGGACTTTTGGTCGCGAATTTACGCGAATACAATTCATGGTTGAACCAGAGCGCGCGTACGCGACGTACGCAGCGTGTCGCGCAGTTCTGTCCAACCTGAGCGGTGCATGTCGCGCTCATTTCTTGCGCTCCACGAAAAGTCTGTGATGCTAAAGACCAAGGCTGCTGGCGGAAGCGGGATTTCGGACTAGTGAATGTCGCGGAGCGGTTAAACTTCGCGGAAATTTCCGCAGACTGTGAGTCATGGCCGTTCCCACCGTTCCCAGTTACGTGCAAGTGTTGACGGCAGCGCAGGTACAATCTACAAAGCGTTGGTGACCCATCTATCTACTCTTGACATGGCGTATGCTGCATTGAGTTCATTTCTATGCAATTGCAGAAATAAATGGAAGCAAAGAAAAGGAGGGTGAAAAGCTTTTGCCAGGAAATGCAATAAGCTCTGTCAGCTAATTGCGTTCCCAGGCATTGACTTTTTTTTTTAGGTCTTTCGTTAACACGTTGACGACGAGCCATTTTTTGAAGGTCTGTCCCTGTGGACGAACCGTTTCCCGGCACATTCACAGCTGGCTGCATGTATGTATGCATGCATCTATGCGTGAAATACAAAAATGCAGGTGGGCGGCGGCTCCGCCCACTTTTGGCAAGCCCCGCCCACTTTTCAAAAATGGTGGAAATTGCCCAAAATCAATGAATTCGTGCAAATTCCGGCACTTTTGAAAAGTGGGCGGGGCTTGCCACTCAGGGGGCGGAGCTTGCCTGAAGGTGTGCGGGGCCTGGCTGAAAGTTGTTTGAGGTCTTTGCGTTCATGTACGGCCACATCCATGCTTTTTATGAACAAAAATGACTCTTGTGGGAGGCATAGGAGTGGGCGGAGTTTGCCAAAAGGGGCGGAGCTAATACATGAAGTATATCTGAGCCTATGTTGATTATATGAACAAAAACTGAGAGGATTGGACAGATAGTATTGAAATTAAGACCGCCGCGCACCATTGCGCGGCGTCGTCCACAGGGACAGACTGCCTGCCGCGCACCATTGCGCGGCACTGTCGTCAACGTGTTAAGCAATGGAAGACATTGGTCTCAGCGTCTGGAGTGTTCTGAAGGCCTCGGGCATTATTCGCGCGATTTCAGTCACCACGCGATCTGGCAAGTTGCCAGGTGTCTTCATATTCAGCACTGGCAAACTACCAACAATAGCTTGTATGGCTTTCGTAAATCAATAAAAGATCCCATTTTCTGTGTCATAGAATGCGTTTAGGATGAGTTTTAAGCTGTCAGGTCTAAGGGTTCATGACGCCCTTACCTGATGTGTAGCGGGTTTATATAGGTCTTTACTATAATATTTATCATACATAGTTATATACAGAAAGGGAAAGGGAAAGGGGGAAGAGGGCACCGGCTTCTGCCGGCGGGCGGAGGTCACTGCCAGAGGTTGGCTGTCTTCGGCCAACCTCCTTCTCGAGCAGCTGTTGTAGCTAGCTGCGTCCCGACATCTCCATTCCTTCAGGAAGCTCGTCCTCGAGCTTGATAGATTGAGGTTTCGAATTATTGTAGTTAGGATTGGCGTGGTTGATGTTCTTCCGGGTAACGTGCGTTGGAATATGCACGTAATATACGGCGAGTACGTACAGTTGACGTGATGATATATTAAAATACATACAGATGTGAGGATATGGATCCGGTGGACTGCGAGCAGACACGACCTTCACCTAGAATAGGTGAAGGTCGTGTCTGCTCGCAGTCCACCGGATCCATATCCTCACATCTGTATGTATTTTCTTGATCAGGGCTTTCCGAACTAGTTGTATGAAATCCATGCTTTTCCACGAGCAAAAATAGCCATAAAGCGACATCTTTTTACGTTTCATGTTGTTTTCTCATCAAATATCATGAAATGTATTACAAAACTGCTTCACTTATCACCGTTGTGCTTGAAAACGATGCTTTTGACTCTACTTCTCATGCAGTGGAATAAATCAGAGTTAAATGACACGAAAAAAATTTTTTCTAATTTATTTCAATACCGAGATTATGCCTGTTAACTTGTATTTATTGCATTGGGTTTGCAAAATGTAATAACTGATTTTGAATTAGGAGTTTAATCATAAATCGGAAATGATTTACAATTAGGCGGCAAATGGATGGACTGTTTTTGGGAGAAAAAAAAATCGATGATTGCATACAATTTTTTCGGGTATCTACTGATTTGCACATTCCGTAGATAGCCAAATGACATTAGCGAAAGTAGTTTGATAGCCTATACGTTTTCAAGTGAGTGAGGATGAAGTTCTTTGCGTATTCAGACTGGTTTTTTTTCAGTGATTTCCCTATAGAATAGCTCAGCATGCAAAATCCCCAATCTACGACTAACTGGAATCGCAATAAAAAAACGTGAGAAAAACACTTTTAAGAACACATTTATCTGAATCATTTTCTAATGCCAAGAAATCTGAAATGAGTACTCTAAGACTTTTGCCTTTAAAATTGATGTTACTGTTCACCGCGGAGAATTCAGATAATTTATTAAAGAGTACTCTGTTTGAGAGATTCTGTTACAGCCATTCTTTTACTCAAACTGATAAGGCACCTTGGAAAATCGCATATTTAATTTTGTGTGAGCGCATGATCCTTAAGTTATAAAGACGAGTAACCGCTTAATTTTTATTTTTGTACAGTGAGCACTGAACTACCCCTTATGATTGAGGTCGACGCTATAGAAAGTGATGCACCGAAAAAGCATGTAATCATCTTGATAATCAGGATTGGCAGTGCAGTTACAAAAACTGGTTCTCACTGAAGAAAATTACAATATCAAAATTAAAGATCTACTGCTTTGAATCTTTTGATGGGCGAAAATTGATTTTTCAACAAGCGTTCGAACTGACTTGTAGAAAACGCTCCATTTATTTGTATCCGTGCGGATAATAAGGGTCCTAGGACGGGGTCATAAAACATGCTCTAACAGCGATGTTTCAAATGTATGAGCATTTTAATATCCTTTGTTTCCATTAAATTCTTATCTTTGTTAGAGGATAGTTCAACTCTAACGCAGCAAGATCCATGTCTGTAAAAGCGCATTTTGAGCAAATAAGCGACTTGCTTTCGAATCGAAAATGTTTGAAGTCGTGCTTCTAACGAATATAAGCAACATTTACATACGTCAATCCATTTACTTAACATCATGTTCTGTCACAGCAGATAAAAGTTTCTCTAGGATTAATCTACGAAGTTCTCTATAGATCTGTACTAGACCTATCGTTGGCGAAAGTTGGAAAATTAGCAAAATTTTGGCTGAAAATATGAAATTATTTTGAAATTATGCTTGAGATTTTTTTGATTTAGATTATTTTTTTTTGATGAAAATTGTTTCCAAGTTTTGAAAAGATTAATAGGATCAGTGGTGCTTAGAGTTTTGATCTAGAAGGAAATTTCACTAGCAGTTACCAAAATACGAGTTGTCGGAGGAAAAAAAAGAACTGTCTTGCAGTACAATGGGAAAATATTCTGCGTTTGTAGAAGAAATTTTTTTTTGTTGATTTAGCCAAAATCTAGATTTGCTAATTACCCTTATCGCGATGTACGGTCTCAATCTAATTGAGCTCGCCGGTGAATGAGATGCTGATCACGGCTGCCGCTGTTGATGCACAATTTCTCGGCATCGGAAGATAGCTGGACGCGCCGTAAATCAGGTGTGTGTAAGGGTCATCCGAATATTCAACAGGCGCATAGCGATATTTGTCACGACCCTAGAGCAGTTGCTAGATTCTACAGTTGTCACCAAATTGATTGCTACTTTGGATGCGCGCAGACAGTTGCTAGAACGGATTGGCATAAAGGATTATGCTCTAGGCCATGTGTAATAGCCAGGTGTGTGGCACGTCGGCAGATGTTATCTTTCCTAACGAATTGTATTGCAGATTTTGTACTGTAGCTACGATTGCGAGCAAGTCCAAGTCCAAAAATAAAAGAAAAATGCATTTGCGATCAAGAAAAATCTATGCAGCCACTCGCAATACCCTAAAAATTACACTACCATCATGCGAAAACATTATAAAGGAAAATATAAACCAGCGCAAAATTTCGGATGTGTTACATACAGATGAATATACTAGAAATTCTGAAGAAAAAGTGATTTTTCTTGCTACTTTGAATTTATTTCTACACGAAGATTCTGAAGAAGAAAATTTGGCTCGGTTACGGCTACGTAAATTTATTGAAAAATCTATCCCGTCTTTTCATGCTTAGTATATTGCATACTGTCAAAGATTATTTTTTCACGCATAGCTGCTTGATACGCGGTTGCGGCTACGCAACTGCTGAATCATTTTCTCATGGTAAGATAGAGCTAAATAATGCATTATTACTCAAAAAGCTGGGGACAAATGGGACTGCTCGTAAAACTACAGCGTATGCATCTCTGAGATAATTCAATCAAAGATCATCAGTACATTTGGTGATATAGTCACTTTGAGATAATTCAATCAAAGACCGTCACTACATTTGGTGAATGAAATTTTTTTTTAATTCAAAAAATAAAATTTTTTTTGAAATGTTAGTTTTCCTTCAATGAAAAGAAAATTTTTTCACACACAGCACACTATTAGTCATCATTGTTATCAAATAAATATAGAAACACTCACCCATTCGTTCGCTGTGACTTGGATGGAAGTTGTTGTCGATATGGATGTGGAGGGGTGGATGAATTCTATTTTTGTAGAAAAAAATTTTTTTGATTACTGCTCAAAAGAAAAAAAAATCTTCCCGGGACTTCCATGTCAGGTCTAAGGGTTCATGACGCCCTTACCTGATGTGTAGCGGGTTTATATAGGTCTTTACTATAATATTTATCATACATAGTTATATACAGAAAGGGAAAGGGAAAGGGGGAAGAGGGCACCGGCTCCTGCCGGCGGGCGGAGGTCACTGCCAGAGGTTGGCTGTCTTCGGCCAACCTCCTTCTCGAGCAGCTGTTGTAGCTAGCTGCGTCCCGACAAAGCAGTGAGTATTGCCAAATCACGTCTCGACTGTCGCGTGAAGTATGCCCGAGTCCTTAGCTGCCAAATGATCATGTCAGTGGAAGCTCGAGCTCTTGTTATTTTTTCCTTGTACACTTTGCGTAATGGCATCGTCTTACTCAGTGCCTGGACATCTAGGAACATTTTTGCGCCGGTTGTCAATAATGCATTTGAAGGGAGGCGTTCGGAAGAGATTAGGGGGAGACATACATATTGCGTAATGGCCCATGCACGAAATAATAGTCTCAGTTGTTACGCCAATAACATTCGGACAAGTTGGCGTGAATTTTGAAAAACATAAAGAAAGCTGGGAAGTTCCATCTCTCCACTTCGCCTCGGTATTTTATGTCAAACCCAGATGCTCGGCATATATATGCCCAAAATCGTGTAGAATCTTCATTTGGAAAGGCTTGTGGATATCTGCAGGGTATTCTCAATTTAGGAGCACATTCGAGTGGGACTTTGGGAAAGTGGTATTCCATAATCTCCTTCATGGCTCTTTACTCTCCAGTCGTGCGGGGAGAGAGGCGAGAGAGAGAGAGAGAGGGAGAGAGAGACCCGTCATACTTCGCCGAAAAAAGCCCAAAAAAGCCCAAAAGCGCCCGAAAAAGCCCAAAAAAGCCCGAAAGCGCCAGAAAGAGCCGGAATGTAGAAACGAACTTTTGGTAGAATTCTGACATTATTTTATCATGCGGACGACAGAAAATGACAAAAAGGCTCGATTGCGAAGTCAACACACATGCCTTAGCGCCAAACGTGCGAGAAGTGTTCCGGCTCTTTCTGGGGCTTTTGGGCTTTTATGGGCTTTTTCGGGCTTCTTTGGGCTTTTTTCGGCGAAGTATGACGGGTCCCAGAGAGAATTTTTTGCTTTGATCTCAGGTAGGTGCCAGAGTAAGCGAATATTTTGTTCAAGTTGGGGTCCTGCGGAGAACTGACGTCTCTCACCATACTGGAATCAATCCAAGTGACGCCAATTCTCCGCAGGACCCCAACTTGAACAAAATATTCGCCTACTCTGGCACCTACCTCAGTGGACGAGATTGCATGTGTACTAAGCTATATGATGTTTTTTCTAGGCTCTCATTGCCGACGGACACGATCCGGCTACGTATTTGTTCCGCGTGAATGAAGTCGTTGCATCGCCGGGAAGTGTCAAGCCACAATCACCAGCAGTATCTCCGGCACCAGCGATGGAACATTCAGCTGAAGAGGAAAAAACGAAGGAGATAACCTGTACGTCCAAAGAACAACTTCACATTATTTTCTGCTGTTTTGGTTGATTTACTCCACAGCTTTTACCAAATTCTATAGCTTTTCCTTATCAAGACGGTTTTTTTACTTGCTTCATTGCCAGCGGAATTTAGCTTCACTCCTCTGAATTTGAGTATATTATTTAAGTTCTTCAGAAATGAGAGCATGGTTGACATTCTACTGGATGAAAATGTTTGAGGGGAAATTGAAGTCCCGCGATTTTTTCCCAGATTGAAATGCTCTTTGTTTTGCGTGCAGCGACTGGTAATTTGAGATGATATTGTGAATTTTGTTTTTGAGTAGAAGACACCCGATTCCCTGAAGTTGCAGATTCCTTGATAAACATCAATTCGAGAAAATTTATGCTAAATCAAGTATGTTGAGCAAGTTTTTTGAGCGCCATTTTCACGATGAAAATGCCTTTGGCGAGACTTTTGTTAGGTTGAAATTTTCCGAGCAGCTGTTGCCGTGCATGCGAAGGAATTTTTAGTACTTTCTTATTGCGTTCAGCTGAAAATGGGCACGGCACTGAAGCTGCCGAAAGCCACGATGAAGCCATGGACACGGAAAGTGCGGAACCAGCGAAGAATGATGAAAATGCTGCTGATCTGGACACATCAAAGGAGCTGGTCATTGCCGATGAACCGGCAGCTGGCGATACGGCGGCTGCTACTAATGACGAGGAGATGCTGGAAGACCCCCTAATAGACGTGCCGACCGAAAACGCGGCACCAACCGCTAAATCAGCCGTTACAGTTACGTCTGCTGCTAAGACTCCAGTACAAGCACCGGTGAACGATGACAAAGAGAAAGACATCGCATCGCGCTCGATCTGGGTTCGCGGCCTGACGTCAGCCACGAAAGCAGCCGATCTCAAGGTTCGAATTAATGCATGATTTCAGCCTTTTTTCTAGCCCTCTAATGCGGGCCCACGAGTCTAGCCCAACCCAGTAAAAATATCACGGTCCGTTTGCAGGTGTTATGCACCGAATTTGGAAAAGTGGTGCGCGCCAAAATATACACTTCAAAGAAGCAGACGACTTCGGCTTGTTATGGATATGTGACTATGGCCGACACCGCAGCTGCAGAGAAAGCGGCCGCTGCATTGCACAAGACACAAATCCGAGGACGCACAATATCTGTGGAGAAGGTAGATTTACACGAGATACTACTCCAGTTGCCGAAGTAGAGACGTGCATGCGGTGATTGGCTGTATTTCGACGTCAGCTGAGATATATCATCGTGTCAACATTGCGCTATTATCCATTATTATGGACTCGTCACGGCCATCTATCTCAACGTGCTTGAATGATTTCATAAATGGAACCATTGTCTTTCAACTGCTCATCTCGCTAAATGTTGATTTCAGAGCTTCAATTACAAATTTAGGCGGATAGATCGAAAGTGCCAGCCGTGAAATCTGCCTCCGCTGCTGCTCCAGCCAAGAAAGACACGGCCAACGAGTCATCCACGAGCACTAAGCGTGACTCTGATAGAAAAAAAGAAGATGATGCAAGCAGAAATGCAAAAGCAACGTCTGTGACCTCAGAAAAATCGCATGCTAAGGAAGGGAAGAAGACTGAGTCAACATCGACACAGAAGCGTGATGATTCTCGTCGCAGTAGCGACAGAAAACGCGATGACAGAGAGCGACGTTCGACAAACGCCGAACGACGCGATAGTGGTACGCAACGCGTTTTCGCATACACATTGCTGGGTTGCAGCCACACCATGGGGATTTTTTAGCATATAGCTTTCAAGCTTATAAACATTCTGTCGGGGATACAAATTTCAAAAAGTGGAACTGGAAATATTCGCTTGCTTCATTTCGGTGCTCGTATGAGTGAGGTCATAGTTGTTTGTGATCCAGATTGGATCTGGATCGGACACTGTACGCGACTGCAGCCAGCCATTATTTTGCTACATCTTGCTGCTGGCTGTCGTTACGTGCGCATGGAGGATCAGCTGATCCCGTTTGGATCCGACTTCTGGGACTATGACCTCAGTCTTATGTTTTGTGTTTCCTCGTGATCCGTGTCTGATAGAGAGACTAAATGCGCGCATAAAATGCTTGCCGCACGCGGCCATGGTGTTTGCCGCGTGCTTAGAGCATATGAATGTTGCGCATTGGTCATTATATCAGGCGGGAAAGAGGACATCATGTCTTAGTTTGTCTGTTGCGGACAACTGGCGTGAATTATTGATACCCCAGGGATTCTGTACCAGTTGTCTACACACGCGAACTTACTGCCATAATGTCCTTCACCCATCCTGATCACTAGCAAGGAGTTCTCAATCTTGCTCCCGTCTTCTAACAGCAAGAGATGTGCAAAAAAGTTTTCGCAGTCCACACTAGCTTGTGAAAATGTGGATTTCAAAGAGAAGGCAGGAACTTTGGGAACTTATCATCTAAACTTTCCTAGGGTTTGGGATCTTCTATGAAAGGCATGGTATGTGACAGTATTTTGTTTTGTTATTTGGTCTCTACATCGTCGTATGGATGCTGCCATAGGAGTTGCATACAGTACTGGGGTTTTTCGGTCGTGACTGCAGACTTATAGTCGTGCTTTGGTTCGGAGTCTGAGACTCGGCGTCGAAGTTTCTACGCTACTACATACTACGATTCAAGGGTAATAATTGCATTTGGAATACAAATTTGTGTCTTTTTCCGTACTTGGGATGTCGCTGGAGACATTGCACAAGTATCTTGCAATTATGCGCCTCTGTTGCTTGCAGAAAACAAGTAAGTTATAAAACAGTCGACGCTGTGGAGACGAATTTGAAGGCGGCTATACAACTGAAACTGATGTTGAAGACACTAAGGGATTGTAAAACCCGAATTGTAGCAAACTAGAAAGAGAAGACGCCAACAACGCTAGCACTTCGGGAGTTAGAGTTCTACATTTTTTCGGGGTTCTATCGGGAATTTCTTCTTCATTATTATATGAATACGCCTATAGCCCGAGATAAAGCAAGCGATATGGTCCAAAGTTTGAGAAGACAAAGAAAAGATGCTCAAAGAAAACATATCACTTCATTTTCTTTATTTTGATTTTACAGAAAGACCCAAAACGGATTCGAAGCGTGAAACGTTCAGAAGAGCCCCTGCACGCGATCCTCGTCGTGACTCCCAAAGGACTATCACTGCTGCACGACGTTTTCCTGGATCGACCCGAGGAGTGCCTTCTCGCGGTAGTCTTCGAGGGCGTATTACACGACCAGGCGATAGAACTAGCAGTTATATGTCGATACGTCGCCCTGAAGCAATGAGTCAGCGCGACCTTTTGACATTGATGCGTCGAAAAGAGGAAGAACATCGACGTCGTGAAGCTGAAATTGAAAAGGAACGTGCACTTGAGAGAGAACGTGAACGTATACGATTTGAACGTGAACAACTGGAGAAGGAGCGTCTGCAGCTGCAGCTTCAAGCAGCTCTTCAACAACAAAAACTTGCTGCTATGAGCTCTTCTCGCACTAAAGATTCCTATCTACCGTCATCTCATACAAGTAGCAGGTGATAAATCATTATTATTTGGAACTCAAAGTTCAGCTGAATCTTAACCTTTGCGTTGTGGATTCTTGTAGTTTGATGGATCGAGCGCCAAGGTTGATAATACTTATCTTTTGGCTAAAGTTTTGGCGCTATCGCTTTTGTCAGAGCCTGGAAGCCGAAATCATGAAGATCCACTTGCTTAGATGAACAAAAGATTCAAAGAAAGATTGTTCCTTTGTTGACATTGACATCTAAGCGGATGGATTCTCATGATTTGGCTTTAGACTCTAGCGAAGGCGATAGCGCCGAATCGTTAGCCAATAAAGAAGTATAATCGCCCTTGGGTTCACGCTCAGTCAATCAAACTATACTATCAGTCCATTTCTTTATGTAACGCACCTAGTCTGAGGTGATTGCAGAGCACGCCATGATTATCGTGACAGCCGTGACACTCGTGCCAGCAAAGTAAGCTCATCTGTGCATCGCCGCTCCGCTGGAGACAGCCGACACGCGACAACTGATGACCGCTCAAGATCTCGCCATGTAGGAGCAAGTGAAAGGTTGGTTTGGAAGTCCTTTTTGTTTACCGTCGAGTAATTTGTGGCTTCACATAGATATTGCACACCATGCGCGCTGCTTGACGACTTTTAAGATTAGATCCTGCTATTTTCCAGTATTTCTTTCTAATACCACTTGAATTAATAAATACTTGTTAATTAGTAGCACACATTTATACGTTTGATAGGCTAAATAAAGTTTAAGAGGAGTACTGATAGGGGGGGGGGGCGTCGTCTACTACGCACATAGTGTGCAGACTCACACAGCAAGTTACAAATGACTCGATGATACATATAAAATTTCCTTTTTTTTAAGATCAGCTCCATCGAGAATTGAACGTGACCGTTCCGACCACAAGTCAGCACCTGCTTCAAGTGAGAGTACAATTCTTGATAATTTTTTGATACACAACCGTAAAAATGTTTCAGGTCGTGATCGTAGCCGACATGAGTCGTACAGCAGTGCTCGCGGTCATACATCTTCTCAACCAGCAGCGTACTCGAGGAAAGAATACGATAGAGGGTACACGTCTTCGAGGTAATTCCATAGTAAGCTTGCTTGTTCGTCATCTTGTACAGTGCATCCGCTTTGGCGTGAATGTAGTGCCCTTGCGGTGCAGGTACTGAGCGGCAAAATTTGCGCGTGAACAAAAAGCTACACTTAAGATGACGAATCTATGCAAAATGTTAGCATTTCAGACGTAGCTATCTGTTCACAACTTTTGCCGCCCCATCTTGGTACCACAATGCATCAAAATTACCTTCAGATCTACTGACTGTACGATCCTTCAGTGTCGTCTGTTTTTCAGGGACAATGCGACGTACAGCAGCGGACGTGGCGCCAGTTCGTATTACGGTAATAGCCGTGATGCATACAGCTCGACAACAAGTCGTATTGGAGGTACTTCTGGAGGATGGGGGTCATCTTCAGGTGCCGGGTATGGTTCATCAACGTGGCAGGGCAGCAGCTCGGCTGTAGGCGGTCATTCCTCTGGCGGATCAGCATGGGGCGGACGAGGAGGTACAGGTAAAAATAGTGAGTAGTTATTAACACTTGTGTGAAATTGTGTTTATTGCATGATTACAGGAAGTAATGGCTGGTCAGCATTTGGAAATGGTACAGGAGCATCGTCAGGTTCGAGCATGCGCTATGACTACGATAAATATCAGCAGCGCTACTAAGAGCTCTATAAATTGGAAAGTGCAAATTTTGACATTTTCCTTTTTTTCTCTTTCTTTTATAACATTCTAGCTGTTGACATCCCAGAAATTATTATTGAGAAACATTGAAGTTCAAATTTTGCAATGTTTTTTGTCTTGTTCGTGGTTGTTCATTATTCATATATATTGTGTATGTGTAGCAGAGAACACACTATGTGGTTTTTTCCTTTTTTTTCCAAAAGGTATCTATAATGTTGTTGTTGTACAAACACTGCGTATTTATCTTCGCTTTTCCACATAAAGAAGTTTTTTCTTTTTTTTTCTTCACAAAAGTATCTTATTCCTTACTTTTACATAGGAGAGGGCCTCAAGTGGCATAATCAAACGTGCCTCATCAAACAGCTTAGTGCTCGACTATGTCTCTTGCTTATTGATGATGTTGAATATTCAGCATTTAGATTGTTATGAGAGGTGTGCGTAAGATATCTAGGATGGCAAATACTGAGGGACTAGCATATAAACGGAACTGTGTGGCATTTTTTGTCTTTGGTTCAAAAAAAGTCAGGCGTCCTACAAGAAATTACTCATTTTGTGTAGATGATCAATAGCTTTCCTTCCAAATATTCCTACAATTATAACAAAGGTGATAAACTCGTGACAGTTGCGCCAAGAGAGTAACGGGTCTTTATATCAAATATTTTATCATCTGTTTTGTCATTAGGAATCTCCGACAACGCTTTGCACACAGTGTCTCAACAAGCTTATACCTGTTCTCCGCTGATTCAAGGCCTCAAAAACTCTAGATGAGATTAATCACAAGTACAAACTTGCTAACAACATGATCAGTTTGTTTGAACAATGTGTGCAAAGCGGTCCCGAGTCTCCTAGTCATAGGATAGATGATTCATTTTTTTTTTCAAACATATCAAACTGGACGCTTCGACAAGCGTCGCTCAGGAGGCAGCGAGTGCGTACCCTTTGATTCAACTAGCATGGCGGCTGGGAGGCGGGCCTCCGTGACCTGATTAAAGCTAGACGATGATCAGAGAGCACGCCGCGAGAGAGAGGCAGACAGGATTTGCATCCTTGAGACATTTGTAATTCAATATGTGAGTGGCACATACGTGAGTGGCATGCGCGGCAACTGACGACATGCTTACTAGTAATTCCCCATAAAAACCTTTCTTAGCTAACAGACTGTAGAAATGTGTACTACTAATTAATAGATCTCCAGTTCAGTCGAAAGAGACGAGGAAAACAAGGAGAAATCACTGGAAATAGCAGGTTCAATCCCAAATCGCCAAGTATGCGCATGGTGTGCAATTCGCATACTAGGTTAAAAATAAATCACAAGTACCGCAGCGCATCTCCACGGGGGAGTCGCCTATAAGGAGTTCCTCAAAGCGTTTCTTTGGCAGATTTTTCCGCTCGATCCCCCTTTTATCACCTTTCAAAACATAGCAGTCTAGGTGCAGGCGTCCTATGAATCATTGCTAAGCGCAGTTGAATGGAGGTCGAGAGACTATTTCTTTACAGAATTTCGAAGCTGGTACTTACCGGACCCCAAGATTCCAGCAAACTTCAAAATCCACATAGGAAGAGACCTCACATGGCTAAGCGCAGTTGAATGGAGGTCGCCAGTCTTGCTTGATATGACCAGACTTCTATATTTGATGCCATGCGGGACTTTGCTTCTGCCGTCGGAGGCAATGGATTAGACGACTGCAGTAATCACAGTTCCTTGAGAAACTTGCGCCAAGTGAAACTTGTAAGCGAGAAGAGCAGACAAACTTAACTTGAATGGCTTCAACTGAACACTTGAACAAGACAAGTATACAGCACTACTTTTATACGCTCAAAAATCAGATAACAGCTACATCTATACCGTTCTCAAAACAAACTCAAAGGTCACGCAAGATGCTCAGCGCGGAAACACGGTTAACTTGGAGCAATGCTGAAAGCTGAAAGAACAAGACATTTGCACATCATACAACGAACACAGCAAAACTTGTAAAACAGTCGAGGTGACATTTTAGTTCCAAAAGCTTCCTACCTCGATTGATTGTTGATTGTTTGATTTTTTCTACAATCAGACCCATTAGCTTTGTCACTTCGAACAGCTGCAGTCATTCTTAATTTTTTTTCTGTCGATAAGTCGCGTACGCTCTTCGAAATGCACATAATCTGCTCCACTAAGCGAGAGAAAAACTTACGATAAAGGTCACCAGATGAATGGGGAAAAATTTTCATATACTTCGGAATCAGAAAAGATGATGTGGTGCGTTCAATTTCGACTATAAGAAGTTTTAGGAGTGTCGCCAGTGGCGATACTGTAAATTGCACATACTGTGGATGTATTATTTATTGTTCATCGTTGTTTGTTCGTTTTGCCTTGTATTGTAGTGGTTTGAAGAATGCCCTAAGAATGAGATCAACCGAACAAGTCATCGCAACCTCACCCCTTATCACTCATCTTCAGTCAACAATGACTTTGCAAGTAAATAAGTCTGGAGGTATAAATGCCGATGAATGAGGGAGATCGAGGATTCTGTCCACAAGTGCTGTGAGGACGACAAGTCTCCGGCTTGATAGGCGATCTTCTCCACAAGCCTTCTACGGGTAGGATTAGATCCAGCAATACTCTGCACCAGGAGCATCAAGTCTCCTATACACCAAGAAGTCTCTGAGGGATCACAAGTATCCTGGGAAGCAGTTCGAAGATTAACACATCTCTAGGGACATTTTACATTCAGTATCTACATCATCGTTGTTTGTAGTTGTGTTATAATAAACCTTGATTGCTCAAGTCTGAGGTAGCATACAGACCCGCATGGCAACCCCAAAACAGTTTCACTAACCATACCTTTGCTACACATAACGCATTCTTTTTGAAAAAGAAAGAGGCTACTGAATGCGTGCAAACCTTTACAGTAATTAGCGGGGTCAACTGGCCAACAGTTGGTTACTAAAGTGCTTCAGTTTTTCCCGATTGCTCTGGTACCTATTCTCGGAATGTAAGGTTGTTGGCAGGAGCGAGGTCGAATTTGGATCACACTCGGTGATGGCGACGCCTCATACCACTATATTTTGTAAATTCCAACGAAGCGGAGCGAGGTTTGAGCCAAGATCTTAGGTAAGTTACCGTATTTTTGCTGAAACTGATATTTACCATGTCGTGTTGTCAAATGTCAGCCAAAATTTTTTCAGCCTCTTAGACTTTCGTTAACAATGTTTTACGTAGTATTCCGCTCAGCCGCGTATTCTTTGCTTCAGTCCAAATATTTCCATAAAATACTTCTATCCAATGCTGACGAATGAGACTATGCACATGCTAATAATAGTCGTCAATACGTTAACGACTCGCCGTAACCATTAGCTCTTTTTCCTATAAAATGCAGCTGTGGTTTGTGGAAAGAAAATGCTGTGTGTTATACACATGTTCTACAAATATTCTGGGACATTCACTGAAGGACTGCGACAAGGTAGGCTACTTCGTCATTGATCAATATCGATTTTATCGATTTTTCTGGCAAAATTTCACCGAGGCTGGGAGTTGGCACATGATGGCAATTGAGCATAGTGATTACGAAACTATTCTTGACAAGACCGGGCGGAGCTGGTCGCCAGCTAGTAGAAAATATCATCTTCGACGGAGTTCTCTAACTTGCAGTTTTAGTCGGCATACTACATATACCATACATGCTGCATATCAACTTTGTCAATTATTCGAAAGGCTAGCAGTTATTTCATTATATGCTCACATGTTACGACTCATAGGCATCAATGTACTTGTTGATTACTGTGAGTCCTGAAATCTGTGCATGACGCTATCTCTGCCAACATTTAAACCATAAGGAGAGATGGCAGACCGCATTCGCCATTAAATGCTCAGCGACTCATAGGCATCGCGACCGTAACATCAATGCCTATTAGCTCCTTTTACCATATAAATGCTCGAATTTGAATGTTTCTATCCATTTCTTTTAAGAGCTATCTTAAAGCTTCTGATGCTAATTTTATATCTGAGGCCACATTTTGAATTTTGGTTATTTTCTGCTTTCAGACCGTAGAACAATGATGTAGCATCAACGATGCAAGAAAAATGGCGAATTTCGCTCCCAACAGTCCTACAGAAAAATGTTTAGAAAGGTGATTTTATCCGCAAGCTCGCTTTCACGTAACTAATCACGACTAACAATGAAAGCCACGACAAAGATTCATTTCCAAGTATGAAAATATTATTACAGCATTTGATCGCCTATTTATTAGCGATAACATATAAATGCTACATTGAATGCGAAAATACTGTAAGAAGAAAAATTCGAACAAGAACAAGAGTTACGACTCTTGTTGTGGGAGACTAGAAATCTCTAGGCAAGCACAATTCAACCAACCAGTGGGAATAATACATACGCTAGTGTGGACGAATGGAATAAAGAAAATGACAAAAGAATAAAGTGTACCGGAAAGAGATAATTCTTTATGCAAAATCAAAACTCAAAATAGAACTTGAAGGAAACAAACAGATACAAACGAAGAAATAAAATGTGTACAGTAAATTAACGCGAAGAGATCGCCGTTACTTTTTCTGTTTATTACTCATATCTGACTCACTGCAATGGGTGCGGAAGAGGAGGAACACGTGTTGTGTGGGATGACGACGCCGTGGCAAGAAAAAGGGCACATATGCTTTTCGGGTGGACTAGATCATCGGATGACGAGGTTTTGCAATGGAACGATGCCGGTCGAGACGAGATCGCGACGACGATGCACGCGACAGCAACGAGCGATCGAACCACGTCGTGACAGCACTCGTACGCTTTCGCCGCGTGACACTACCAAGTGACCAGGTTCGCACGAGTCCGCAATCACAGAAGCGAGCGGTGACGCGGCAAGCACTGCCGATGGCGTCACGGCTCGATGCATGCTTACGCGACTAAAAGCAAAATGAGTTTAGACTGGCACGATCCACCACTGATGATGCAAGCGCGCACACAACGCCCGTCGCTTACCGCAACAAAAAGCTGTCACTTCAGATCTTCAATGGCCGGCTATTAACGGTGCCATTACCAAAAAAAAAAAGAAAAAAGCTCCAAGCGCACGATTACAGTCGAGTAAATTTTCCACTTAATATAGTGTGCTTGAGATGCCGAGAAAATGTGGTGAAATTTGCGCGTGCAAGCTGCGCCTGCGACGCTGGCCACTTGCGCGCGCAAATACTGGCATTATTGGCGTGGCCATTTTCCACGCGCAAATTGTTTTCAGCAAATTCGCAAATCGCATTTTTCCGGCACCGCAAGTACAGAAATTAGGCGGAGAATCCACTCGACTGTACCCTTCACCCTTTTTCCTTTGATGTTTTTGTTAGCAAAACCATCTACTCGCAATTTGCAGAAGACTTTTCGGTGCTTTTTTCATCCATTGCTCGATGTTAAAGCACTTTTACTGCAAACCAACAAGATTACGACAGCGATTAGTCAGCTGCCCTGGCAACATTCCACTAAAGGGCAAGTTCACGAGGGATGGTGCTGAACGCACACTCGATTCCTGCCAATGAAAAGGAAAAAAAGAGTGAAACCAGAAAATTACGGAAATTTTTGCGCGATCTGAACAAAAGTACTCATTCCGCAATCACATTTGATCAAAAGTGCTACGTCAGTTTTCACCGAACACAGATAGTGGTAAAGAACTCTGATTTTGAACTCTGATAGAAAGTTTTTCTCCAGCACTGATTTCAAGACTTCCGCAGTGGAAAGGAATTCGGAGAAAGCAAAAAAGTCCTTTGCACTAAGGTGGATTAGTTAGAGTGATGAAACCATTTAGTGTTATCAGAAAGAAGACAACGAATGTGCAACTAATTTCGCAATCTATAGCAAGTGTTGGTATCTGCATCCAGATTTCACTTCCTATTAATCGTGCGCTTGAAGAAGTGATTTCAATAAAAACATAGGGAAGAAACACACCTTTTTGGCAATGGTATTCGAGAACGTCGATGATTATGATTCGAATTCGATAGACGTGCCGGTACCGATGAGCTTTTTGGAACTCGAGAATCGGCCGGTAGCCTGCATGGTCCACTCCACAGCATAGATTGTGTTTGATGCGGATGGGAGCATTCACGAAATTCCAACACTATAAAGAAAAAACATCAGAACTACTTAGAATTATATGAAAAAGTTTGCAAACCTGGAATAAGAGCGAGTGTATCAACCAATCGCCATAGTAGTGTCCTATAGGCCGTTGGCGCATCTAGCAGAAAACTTCCGGGAGTGTAAAGACGGCGAAGCACATTTTCTTTCAATACTACATAACAAAGCCAGCAATCCAGAGAATTTTCTCTGAAAAAAAAGGAGGATTCAATAGAAAGTTACCAATTCAAATTGAAATTTGGGAAAATCTGGACACTTTCCAAAAAATGCTTAAAATATTTTTGAAAATAGAAAATGCATGGGAAAAATTCTCACCTGAAAAGCTCTTCAAAGAACTGCTCTACGCGAGAATTTTCGGACTTCTCGTTTGAATCCAGTTTGTTCACAATTGAGTATACGTCTTTCGTGGCGGGACCTGCAAGACTAAATCCTGAGCGAGAAGTTGAATAGCTAGGGCCATACTCGGAAAACTTTCTCGATTTTTTCTCGGAAAATTTTCTGTTTTCAAAATCACTGAAATACTCAAATAAAAACTTACACGTACCAGGTGCAGTAACGGTGCGAATCATATTCCATGACGTGATGCCTTCCTTAAGCCCATCCGATACTAAAGCGGCTAACGCTGTGAACAGTGCGTTGGGTGTTTCGCCTCGGGCAATGCCGGCGACAGCATCCACAACAGCTTCTACCATAGTGCGTTTTGTCGCATATATTGGGAGTCCAACAACTGACAACTCCCGTGCACGAATTTGTTGACCATCAGATGACCTAGGAAAGGAAAAAATGAGTCAATAAAGGTAAAAAAGGGGGTAAGGGTAAAAAAGTCTTACCTTCCGCTTCTTGGCATGAGTTCATGTGCAGTTTCTGGTCTATCTGGTGAGCAATCACACAGCACATGTCGCGATGCAGTGGAATGAGCCCAACTTGGCGGATGTATTCTATACAAGAGAATTCAATAACAAAGTTGAAATAAAAAGAAGAACCAATGACCAACCTTCTTCGCACTCGAAAGCATGTCCTGCACGGCTCGGTTCGTTTTCGTTCGATACAATTGGAATGTGAGGACGAGCCCAGCAATTGGGCATTCGACTTGAAAAACGAACACGCTTCAGCAACATGTCTGCAATTAATTCGTTTCAAATTGGTCCTATTCTCTCACTAATAGACTTGGAACAGATTGGAACAGAATTAATGATGATGATGGCAAAGCATGATGAAGAGAAGGAACGAGGGAAATGCTGAGGAGAGGAGAAACTAGAAGAAATTTGAACTACTATAAGAGTAAAAATAGAGACGAAAACCCAGATTCTCACAGAAACAACTGCCTATCCTGGGGCATGCCCCAATAAATTTTATTAGCCATGCTAAAGCGCACAAAAGCAAATTGTTCATTTATGGTAAGTGATTACTGTGATAGCCCATTAAATTTCAGATGTGTTTAGGAGCATACGTTCATAAAGTATGTCAAGGCCATGGATGACTGACTCGACCTTCGACTTTACTGCCCTCGGTGATTATGTTGTCATACTCGTAAACCGTCTGCACCACTAGAATGACAGATAACCATAGAGACATGATTTGAATACTAATCTCCTTATAACCATATGTGGGTAGCACCATAGGCAGGCAGATCTGGTACCTAACCTTCTTGCCTCAAACCTCACATGAGCCACTGCCTAAGGGGCAGCTCATATAACTCATCAATGGCTTAGAAGTATACTAACTCTACCCCCGACCGTAATCTCTACCAACGGACCAATCAGCGCTCTCCAGTACTGTCTTTAAATTCGATAAATGCTTTTCGGCTGCACAAGCACGCGCGTGCGATTTGGATACTGCTTGTCGCTACAGTATACCTCTGCACATTCACCTCAAATGCATACCTTGTTGACAGCAACACAGTTATTATTAGCCACTATTTGCATCGCTCGCAGGTACTTGTGCAGCCAATATGATGAGGTCAAGCGCGGGTGCAAAAATGCGTTCTGTGGTTGTTCATGAGGAAAGAAAACTTGCTTATCTTCCGTCAGCCTCTGGTACTGTCAATGGTCTTCTTTCTAGTTTAGAGGCGGAATCGATAAAAAGGAAACCACTGACGGTTCCAGAGACCAACGGAAAGATGGCCAGGTTTTCTTTTCTCATAAACTATTCCAATCCCTCCCCCCCCCCCCCCCCCACCAACTTCTTCAATCTTCCCATCCCACCGAGTTTTCCCTGCATCCCAAGTCATCATAACTGCTACCTATAAATCATGGTAAAAAAACCACGACACTCATATTCCCATGAATTATGACCTTCTCTGCGAAAAACATAGCCTCGGATGATTCATGTTTCCCTCAGCCAAGCCGACTCATTTAGTCATTCTTTAGCGCTGAGGAAATGAGGCGGCTGTGATTAGCAAGGCTAATCCCATGGCTGATGGCTCATAGGCAAGCCTTGAAGAGAGATGAGTGTTTTTGCATGTAAAGCCGTCCTCAACCCAGCAGGCCCCTGTGGATGATTTTGAACTTGAACTGGAGCAGGCGAGTTGCAGAGAGAGCGGCACCCTTAGCCCTCAGATTATATTGACTTAGATGATGACGTGCTCTACTGCGAATGGCCTGCTCTAGCTCAACTTCATAATCGTTTATCACGTGTCTACAGGGATTAGGACGACCATAAGATCATTTTTAGACGTCATCAGCAAAAACGTGTGTGCATCCCAATCAGCGAATGCGTGTTTTCTTAACAAGCCATGAAAAAAATCGTTACCGCAAATCACTCGGAACATGGCTGGCATTCATTTGTACAGCTGTTCAGCCATAGCCATACACATAAAAAAACGTCCACGAGACCACCAACATCGCCGTATGTCAATCAGCTCCACATGGACGTTGTTTACAACCTATACATTACACGCCACTTGTGTGGATGCGCTGCGTGACGAGCAAAGTGTTCGAGAGTTTCTAACATCCCACAAAAATCGACCAATTCATGGGATGTCAGAAATTCCTCGCTGTTGCCGTTCACAGCTGAATAGCCACACTTCAAAGCACTTAGAGCAAGCGGACCAATGCACTTCTCTTATTGTTAGATCAGCAAACAAAGCAATATAGCGGGCACATTCTCGCTCATATTCTTTTCACGGATTTTACTCACCCGCAACTACGTGGAATAGGCGAGTAAAAACATTTATGTGTGCTAAAATCATTTTCAAAACAATTCATACTTGAGCCGCGAGATACAATATTTCAGAATTTCAAAAATATTCACACTTTTAGCTCTTCATAACCTTGAGAAACCCCTTTCCCCAAGTGCAGCGACATTACACTCTCACTTCGAGTGCCTCAGGAACTCGGTTATGCTTTCAAGATGAAATGCGTGCTCGATTTAGAAAAATCCCACACAGAAAAAGTCTTGTCTGCACGGCTAGAAAATTCTTTCCCCAACATCCCAAGACAAGATGACTCATTCTGAGTACGCATGTTGCGCAATTCCCACAATTTCCCACTGTCAAAGTGCCCGCTCCGATGCGAAGAACATAGCAAAAAGCTTTGATGATTACATTTGATCGAAATTCAGAGTTTCTTGTCATGTGTCTTTTCTATAAAAAGAAACGATGATAAAAAGCCATCAATTTCATTTTAGAAGCTCCTGGACGTTTTGAAGTGCACTCCGTGACATAAGCTACTTGGCATAATGTTTTTGTTTGCCCGTAAATGCACACAAGATGCCTAAGAGCTCTCAATTGGCATTTTTCGGATATCGCTTTCATTTATCTTGCAAAAGTATCCATTACATGGTTTTTGCAATCTGACCCTGCTTCATAAATCTAGAAAAATGTATACCTTTTCACAATGCGATGAAGCAGAAGCCACTTTCACAGTATTTATTTATTTATTTATTGATACACTGTTGTGCACAGTGGTGGAAAATGTGTAGCCTAGTAGATCTGACGGTATATATAGTAGTGATCCTGCGTCGACAACAACATTTGTGCGTACACGTGACAATATGCGCCCTATGGCCATTTTTCATGCGCAGATCACAAGCAAGCTGCCGCCATTCACAATCATGTCATTTGTTTTCGCGCATATGTTGTCTTCACCGCAGAGACACTATATTTACCGCCAAATCCACTACAATGTAACACTATCCGGAAAGCTTCAATTACCAGCTTCTTCTGAAAACTCTTTCCAATTATTTTCAACTCTCAACCACACAGAATTCACCTCACAGCTGGACATATAATCAAAGTATCCAATTTCTTCCCCGAAGACATAGCGATCCCTCGTGGAACAGGCGCCCGAAGGCACACATCGACACGGCTGTTATTGCGTGGCACATTTTCACAACGACATCCGAGCGCGCTAAGTAGCCCGTCGGCCAATTGAGTGAGGGGGTAGAGCGAGACAACCGATGACAGGCAGATAATGGCACTCCTTACGAAATGCTCGTCGTCCACATACACATCATTCTAGTCAAATGCCAATCGAGTGGAACCGCGAAAAACGAACGTTTTGGAGGAACACACAAAAAAAAGTTAAACGATTCACTTCCGTTACCAGATTAGCTAGGAGAAATGGGAAAGGAGGGGGGGGGGGAGGAAGTGAGGATCGAAACACCCGTAATCCGACAATTAATTACGAAGGAGGAGCGGGTAAGCGACTTCGTCCAATCACCGCATTTCGTAATCATCATCATGACAGCCTCATCACTCATTCTTGTGCTTACGATAAAACCACGTGGGCTTGTTGATCAAGAATGCTCACAAAAAGTCCTGGCTAATCATATTACGATAGCGACAGATGCCAACATTATCCCTTGCACGAGGGCATGCACTTAAACTCATTGCCCATTCTAAGGTTGGATGCTCAGGAACGCTATGCATACGCGCTGCCTAGCAAGTTCAAACATGTTCCTACACTAACTTCAAGCAGTAAATCGTCCAAGACGAGGTAGCGCGCAAGTATTAACTTGTCAATCACACGTGTACAAAGCGTTCTCGAGTATCCTAGTCCGGGAAGGGAGAATAATCGTCTTATGGATACTTGTGCATTGCACCCCAAAGTGACTTGATGAATGTTTGTCCCCTAATCTGCCAAAGCTAGTCTGACAGAGCGAAACAATTCAAACATTTTGTCGAAGGCGTCTGGAAATTTATGGTGCAAATGCACCTGTTACATGTAGTTTTTAGTACAGTATAAATTTATAACGCAGCTAGCGCCATCTGCTGCAAATATGGTAAAATCAATAAAAATCTTACCAACCTTTACTTTTAGCGAAAAAGAAACAACAAAAGAAGAAAAACGACTTAACGTGACATCTTTTCACGTCCTCGCTGCCTCAACCTACAAGCCCTTCTTTCTCCTCCCTCTCCCTCATGTTTTTCCTCTAGGGCCAATAATGTTCAACGACTAGGAACAATAGCGCAAGTGACTAACCCTCTTTCAGGAGACAAATGGGAACTTGGTCATCGAATGCATTCTCAAGACGAACTCCAGCACAACAAGAGATATTTCAAAAGGACAAACAGAATGATGTCCCTGATCGATCCCTAAGTGCATGAAATTATTCCCGACTAGCATATGCATCGCCTGCTATGTGAACTATTAGTGCCGCACTTTGTATTGACAGGAAGCTGTCCCCGCTCATTATACATACTGAACCGATTTTATACATACATCGAATGTTGAAATATATTGCTTTAAGCTTTTATACGCTCAGCTGCTTCGTAAATGGATAGCCTACATCTTTTTCAGGTCTTTTTAACGATATTTGACCACATGACACATCAAACTCAAGCCCAAACACCAAGTTGAAAACCAAAAATGAACTTCTGCAAACTCAGTCCCAATCTCACGCTTCACTCACTTTGGAGAGAAGGTTTTAGAACATCGCGCAGGAAATCAGCACTTGCGCACAATCGATCGGAAATGAGGCACAAAGTGGGGCGCTTGAGGCTATGGATTGGAAGATTTGGGACAAACATGTGACGCAAGTACGCGTCATGTGGATGTTCGTGAAGAAGCAACAGAACGTAAATATTACTTGAATGGAAGGCGATAACAAAATGCATAGAAAACTCACTTTGGCAATAAAATTGACAGCGACGCCCAGTCTTCGATGTGTACCGGACCGCTACAACCTAATCCAGAGTCGGGTGAGTCTTCCTGGAAGAAATACATCATTGATGCATGGGTCAACATCAAAGATTATTATTCGTATAGAAAATACAAGGTCTCATGATATCAAAATCTCTCAGCAAATAAAATCTGAGCCTATCAGAGTTCACCGTGTGAAAAACATTCCAATGCAAACAGAAAAGGCTGAGATTTTTCCCGCTAGTTCGGAAATGCACACAATCTTCTACCGTAATCCCAGAAACGTTCTCTATTCCCCACGTTCGGTGTTTTTTCCCTTCCTCCTCTCCTTTCTCAAACAATGTGAGGAGACGGGGAATGCGCGCATATGGAGATGGGAAAGGACATTCAAGCAAGACGGAGCTATTATAAGGGGGACATTTTTCCCAACGAGCATTTAGCGCGACCACTATTAGGGATGATGATTTACTGGAAATAGAGAATTGGCCATAAAAATGATGACATGAACGTCCTTTCTTTAACTGCAATAAAAACCACGGATTGAAAAGAAAAAAAATGTCGGAGGATTCTTTTCTCAAAAAAAAAAGCTCTAAATGCGCTGATGTAGACATTCTCACGATTTTCAGAAAATGTACTAGATTCTCAGCTCGAAACTATAGTTGCGTCAGCCGGCTTCCAGCTAATCTGTTCCCAAATGTAATAAATCTGGCAGGAAACCCAAACAAACGCAATTGTTTACGGCGCCAGAAAGACAAACTTTTACAATGGGATCCATAGACAAAAACAGCATGGCGAACACAAACCTGCTCCAGCTTTTTTGCGAAAAAGTTTCAAACTTTTGGAGCAATGTCCGAATGAACCAAACTAGCATGTGTTCCCTCAAAGTAAAAAAAATAAACTAAATAAAAATACAGAGACACCTTCCCCCCCCCCTCTGCAATCCCACTTTTTTTCTACCAAGGCACCATCGCTAAGTTGTTGACTCAAAGAAATCAAAAAGACCGGTTCCTCTCAGTGAAAAGGATTTAGCAAACAGAGTAAACGTTGATAAGATAACGAGTGAAAACACAGGCGCCTCGACCATGTGTACACTACTCTCAACAGCAACTTAATGACCGTTGCTTACCTCGAGCTGATTTGTTTGTAGCAATGATGGAAGTGGCAAATCGAGATCGGAGGTCAATGGCGGAATGCCATCGCGTTGTACTTTTAACATAACATCACTCAACGACATCGTTGAAGACTCACACAGAGTAGGAATCTGTAAATGGGAGGTAGATTAGCTTGATGACTCCAAATAAGCAAAGCTCTTTTTCAAAAAAAAAGAAACATCTGAGAAGGTGCCAGATTCCATTAAACTAGCGCAAAAGCTAATGGGTATCCGAAAACCAAAAAGTGCACGTACGCAGTCACTACAGGTGAACAAATCTCTTTACTACAATTGTAATTGCCGTGTAAAGATGCTCAAAATGTGCATTTGCACGACTCTCTGAATTTTATGACAATCCATGGTGGCAAAAACCCGCAATAAATCAAAAATGGGGCTCAAAGCATGCTTTTTAGACGTGGTTTTTGAATTTAGGTATGTCTGCAATCACACTATATATTTGCAGCTTAACGATCTTATGAATGCAGTTCTCCTTCATTTTGCAAAAAGCCCTTTGCTTCTTTTTACTATTTTGAAACAATTATGATTCAGCAGAGACGTGATCTTTCTCAAACTACTTTTTAGCCCTCCCCCTCCCCCAAGAATGAGTCGCGAAATTTCCAAAAAATTCATATGCATGAAAGTAAACTTTTACTACCGAAAAGTAAATTTTCTAAATATCACATATGAATCAAGACTTGTGAGAATTTACACCCCAAAAAAAAACCCTAAGCCAAAAAATGATGAAATAGCGCCCTTACCTGATGAGGAAGTGCAAGAAATTGCAGCTCTGGTGCGATCGACTTGTGCAAATCGGCGAATGTCCGTCGTGGTTTGCTCGGAACCAATCGAGCACTGCTTGTAGCCGGTCTGGCAGCTCGCCAACGATCTTGTGTATTCGATGGACTCGCTTCGAGTTGAATCTCGTTGTCGTTGACGTCCACGTAACGACCGCCATTCAAATTATCTTGTGATGATTCACGGCCGACGAAATTCGCCAGAAGACTTGTTGGTCGTGGAGCAGTCGCTGTCGTCGATGGTGTTGTTTGCGGACGAGTTATCACATCTGGCGCACTGAAAATGAGATTGAATTTTAGACTGCGCTTCAGTAAAGACTTCAAAAAATTCTTTGTTGCAGAGCTTGAAAGTCTTTTCTTCATCCGCACACATTAGAATTGCAGAAGAGTATAGAATGAGCTCGCAGGAGGTAAAAAAGTGTCTTTGCGGAGTCGCGCACGACTTCACATCTCATTACGGTAGCTCCTAGAGCCCCCCTCAGATAATTAACCTGGTAGATAAACTCTGGGTAGTTTGCGGTCTGTAGGCTCATAGATCTAATGGTTTCCAAAGTGTTCGCTCGAGCAAACAATATTTGCGAATCCGCTGTCCATAAGCACAAACTTGGAAATTTTCGTAACCATTTTTAACTCGCCAATTGTCAGTTTTGCCTCCGATATATACGGCAAAACCCATCGTTTGCTTATCGCAACCGCCAGCATGACAATTATTTTTACGCGCAAACGCTGTCGGTACCGCAGGAAAACTATACGAACCATCGATTCCATTTTCAAGTTACTGATGTGCATTTACACAACCTTGTTCTTACACATATCTTGAACCGAAAGATAGTAAAGTGAATTAGTCGCGCCTAGTTTTCACTATTGAAACTGACACACAAGCGCAAAGCAAACATATTTTCTAGCCACTTTCATACTATGTTAGTGCCACCATATTTTTTTTTTCATATAGAGACTCAAGGAATCAACAACAAGCAGTCTACAGCGTATAATTTTTCAAAATATTCGGGCTACAAAATCATCTTTGACGTAAACATCGCATGGGATGAAAATGAGATGTAATCAGAAGCTCCCACAGAATGATCGCATTTCATTCATGGCATTAGTAGAGGCGATTTATGTTTTTACAGCTTTTAGCAATGTATGACCATTTCAGCCTAGAATGACGCAATAGTGCCCGTCAAACATAATCGGGAAATTCCATAATCACTATTTCGAAGTAATCCGGCAAATGTGCGAGTTTTCAATCTAATTCTCGTTTCAAACATGTCCTACATTGTCCCACGTAAAAAGCCCTGTCCCATACGGTTCGAACCAGTGTCCGCTCGCGCGATTGTCACACCAAATGTTGCATGAGAACAAAAGCAGCCGCCGCGCCGCTGTAAGAAATGGAACGAAGAAATTTCGAGTAGCGATTTAATGTTCGAAATCGCTCAAGGACAGATTCCACTCATATCTAGATAAATGACTTCCGACTAATTTGAGTCAGCACTATCTGCGGTAAAACGCTTATTATGATGAAAAAGTGGTTCGAATAGGGCGAAGACAGGATTCCAAGAGAGTTTCGGCGCTGTGAAACGAAAATAGGCAGCGATGGAAGAGGTTGGTTTTAGTTATGAGGATGTTCATATACAATTGTTCGATAGTAGTTTGGAAAACAAAACGAAGCGCTAAACGAGAGGAAGAGTACAGATGCCGGCTGTCAATAGTGCAATGACAAGTACATAGAGAATTTGTCATATGCTTTGCTTCAGGGCAGTAAAGAACATTCGGGTGAAGAATGTCAAGAAAATCTCAAACATCTAAAAACAAGGCCCCAGACTGATTAGAATGAGCGTTATAGACATCAAGTCAAGATCGAGAGGTTTGTGCCACTACATCTTTTACATCGCAAGCTACGCAATCTCCAAATTCACGTAGATGAATCCGCTTCAACGTATGAATTATAACGGAACTCAAAACGATTAAGGATAGCCCGAAATGAGCTGATCAACAAAGAAAACAGAAAGTAGAAGGAAAAAGCCACCAAAAAGGAAAAAAATACTTCAGGAAATTACCTTGCAGTTGTTTCATCGAGTGGCTCAGTGGACCGAATGCGCCCCCATGTAGTAAGCTGTCCGCTTTGCCAATGTCCCGAATCAGCAAAAGTCAATTGAAAATCTTCAGTTCTAAGTCGGCATCGTTCTCGTAACTGTTCCGAATCTAACGAATCAGTGCTAACAGAGCTGGAAGCGAACAATGCCGAATCGCCGCCAAAATCAAGCTGAGCGATACGTGTGTCGATGTCCGAGGGCCAAGCGTCGTCCTCGGGTTGCAGATGCAGCTCACATAGCTCCATTCAGAACGTACTGTTCGACTTCGACGATGGAGACGACGAGGTCGAAGCTGCTGCTGCTGCTGCTGACGATGGTGGTGGTCGGGATGCCGGGGCGGCTGCGTGAGATCGATGCCTGCGTGTGCGTCTCTAACCCCCCGGCCCCCGTCGGGCCACACCCGCGCCCGCCGCTCTGCTTCTCTGACACGCGCCGAGCAACCAGTCAGCTGGTTCCGAGCTGATTCGCTATACGGTAGCTTGTTAATGTCAGTTACACACGTTACGCACACGCTTATTACTTTAGGCGAGTCCCGCTCCTAGTCCCGTGCAGCGCTGTTTTTAATTTAATCAAATTACATCTGTGTCATATATACCCGAGTAGATTCCTATGCTCATCTGTGCAATTGCACAATTTGCGATAGACCAAATTCCGGCCAAACCCGTGACTTTAAACCCTACTGTAAATCTTCCGTAAATATAAAAAGCCACGTTCCTTGCTAAGAGAGTTTACAGAGAGTTTAGCATTCGTGATCAGTGTACCAGAAGACTCCTACAAGCATCGTTCAAGCAAACCACGGCTTAGAAAATTTGTTCTGATAGCCGAATAGCGCCGCATAGCGAGTATACAGTCGATTTTTACGCTTGTCTCTGCAATTCCACATTTTCGTGACCGTGGACCACAATTTGTTTTCTTATATACTTCTTGATTTTCCGTTGCCAATCTTATAGGTAAAGCGTATAACCGATTCATCGCACGCACAGCATAGACCGCACGCTGTTGCGTCCGAGCAAGATAGTTCGTGCATAGTAGATGTGCCGACAATGTCGGCACCCTTCTTTGCCGTATCACTTTACTCACTGCTAAGTACCGTACAGGTCGTGCCATAAGCATGCCTGCTGTGATTGAGTATCTCCATAGCCCAGATGCATGTATACTACCTTGTCACGCCCATTATATGGAGCATTCTACTACTGCACCCATGCAGGTCGTCTGACTCAATAAAGCTCTAAGCTTACGTCTAATACCACAGCGGAGCTTCTTATTCCAAAGGCGCTATTCCGCCACATTTATGGTGCCGACTTTGTCGGCACCTTCCTTGCAACCATATCATTACTTCTGCCTGAGCACCGTAAAGGTCATGCCATAAGCATGACCTGCTGTGATATAAGTATGCTATTGCCCAGATGTTTGTGATGTTACTTTGACACGCCTATCATACTCAGCATTCTACCACTGCACGAACGGGTGCATGTCGTCTGACTCAATAAAGCTACTATTAGCTATGTGTTCTGTATAACACACTCCAAAAGGCGCTATATCGCCTCAGGCTACTATAAAGCCATCGAACCACCGATACAGTAGAGACGGCAGAAGGCAGGAGGGCCGACAGAGCGCTCGATCAACGAGACGCCGACAACGTCCGTAGTGACACCCTGTCTTTGCATGCCATGAATCGACGATACGATCGATACAATTGAGATATGGCATAGGGCCTGAACATTTCGCTTGGCTTCCCATGACTTTGATCGTCTAGCTAGTAAGACCTAACGGAAATAAACCGGCAAGAGATGAATACTTACAGATTAAAGCGCTAGGTAAAACTAAAAAACAGGAGAAAACTCAAGAATTCCCTTCCAAAATGGGCAAATTCCAGGGAGAGCCGTGAGATGGCGTATGTTTCGTGCAGTACACACATATTATTTCAAATGAATCGACCATAAATGCTCAAACATATAATTCTTACAGGTCGGCATTTCTTCAGCATACTGGATTTGTGCAGTTGCACACATTAGCAAAAAAAACCTACTCGACTACAGCATAACCATAAACATAAGGACATTACTCCCTGCCCCCTTTGTAGGCTCTAGTCTGTACATTCCCTGACCTTTCACTTCAAAGCAATGGTTATTTTGCTCAATAAATCCAGCGTAGTCGATTTGCTTTTGCACTTTTCGCTTCACTAACGTCTATTAACATTTATCAATACATGGCGGGGGAGGAATAGAAAAAGAGCGGGGGAGGGGACTCAAAATTGTGCGGCATTGTTAGGAGTAGCGCAGGAAGTTTGAAAAGCATAAATTATCTCAGTTCATGCATACGATCCACCAATGCTGCAAAAATGATCTTACTGGAACAAATGCTGCTTTTCAGGCTCTGAGTAGAGTCGAACCGTTTGTCAAAAAAAGCAGCTGCTGCTAATGCCTCTGAGTTGCGAAACGTTCGTCTGCGGGCCGCAACTCAAAGGCATTAGTGCTGCATCGTCGCAGTAACCATACGTCACCACAATCATAAAAATATATAAATATAGCCTTTTTACCGAAACTTTGAAAATGTCAAGTAAGTGAAAGAATCTGGTCATTTGACGCGAAACCGGTTATGTTGGGGCAAAACATTCTTTCTCGTAAAACGCATTCCAGTCATTTTTCTTGTACAACAGCAGACTCACCCTTCATTCAGCGGATCTCGATCTCGTCCCATCTACCATAGTCGATCGTTTCGATTGTTCTGTCGCCAATCTCTCCACTTCCTCCTCGGATCCAAACGACGTGTTTTATTCTTTTTCGGTGAAGAGTACCTCGTCTGTAAGAAAAGAAATAAGTCAGAGAGAAAATTTGCGGGAACGAACAGAAGGCGAGAACGAAACTGAGCGGAAAATCCGAAATCTTCAAAGCGTTTTTTGCTGGTTCGACAAAAACAAAACGAGATGGACTGATAAGAGAGGATATCAGAGTGATTTAAAAATAAAGAAAGACATCCGCTGTCACCGGCAACCTATCACACGTAGTGAGATGACAGATGACAGCGGGTGTCTAGCCATCTGGCAAAAACCATATGAAAACTTCCGAAGCGATTTGAATCCGCAAACATCTATATGTCGACCTGGCGCCAGTGACGATCTAGTACAACGGACGAATCGCTGGTTTTTGTCAAATATCCCTTTACTCCGTTTGCGGTTTTGCTAATTACATCGTCGTAAAAAATAAATTACATAAATCTGTTCCAAAGAAATATTGGGAAGTTCGAGGGAAGATAGTTATAGACGGCGTTTGAATGATGTCGTGCCTTCGTGCAATTGCGTATCACGTTCAGAATGGAGATCGAGGATTTCTTTTCTACAGTTCTGTATAGAAAAAGTATCACATAAATCTATTCTAAAGTAATATTGAGAAGTTCTAGATTAGATTGGCACTAGATAGCGTTTAAATAGTGTTGCGTTCAGATTATTTCGTGCAATTGCGTACCATGTTCAAAATGGGGATGACGCTGATTTGGTTACTACAGTCTGTCTCAATCGTAGTGCCCCGTTCGATGTACATCTGCCTCGCGAGCGTTCAGCTCAAGCAGTCAAGCGACTTTATCGATTGACGTCAGCACGCGAGCATGTCGCGCAATGCGTAGCCGCACGCTAAAAGGACATGCAGCTCGGACAAGCTGTACCCATGCATTAGCTGTGCTTTCAGAAAAAAAACGCGCATCAATGTAGATATCGCAGTTTTTCGCCGGACCATTGGGGGAAAAAGTAACTATGACTGTTAACTTTTCTTTTTGCACAATCACAAACAATGACACGGCCACACTCAAATTCGAAGATTTTTAATTGAGAAAGATAAGAGATCTGCTCAGGTAATATAGAACCGGTAAATAACAAGTAGCAACCTCGAATTCGAAAAATCTGGAAGCAACACGGATCATACAAACAGGATTTCGCGCAATATCAGCTCTGTCTGTGTGCGGAACAAACAGAGGAATAGGTAGCGTGCACTTGGGTTTATTAAAACTGCATTTGTATTCACAGGTTGCTAACCTCGAACCGAACAAGTAAAGAGGAATCGATTACTGAAATTCGAAAAAAAAACAAGACCTCGATTCGAAAAAAACAAGCGAAAGGAGGGATTGGTGAAGAAGAAGAAATCGAGTAACTAATCGTAAGTATTATTCATTTTGACTGTGAGATTGGGTGATTTCAATAGGCTTTGCACAGATTGTGTAGAAAAGCTTGAACTTGTTGCTTCTCCCCGTTCCATGTAGAAAATAATCCTAAATGAGACAGATTTCAAGTGTTAACTTGCTAGCCACACGATTAAACTTGTTCAGACAGTGTGCAAAGCGTATTCGAGTCTCCTGCTCAGGACGAGAAGAAAGTTTTATCTCATTATGGCTCGTGAGATTTTGTTTAGAGGTTGTCAGCTAATCCGGCTGAATGTTTTGACCGAAGGACATCTCTATGACTGGGGGTGATCCGCGCAAGATTTCAATCAACAGAACGAGGAGGGTTGTGAGGAGAAACTTCTTCCTAAAGTAGAGTCTCACGTGACCCTGAAAAACTTATTGGAATGCAAGTCGTTCCTGTAAAACTTTCTCGTTTGAAGGTAATCCTCAAGAACTAACTAACTTCTTTCCTCGTCTGATTGCTCACGATTTGATACTGTTCTGTTTTTGTTTATGTAGCAGATGTTTCTTGTTGAGACCTTTGGCATGTTTTGTTTGTTCAGGTTTGTGTTTGTCACATGGGGGTTTCTCTGTGTGGCAAAAATTTCTCGCTTAAACACGGTCCTAATCTTCAGTCATTCATATCAAGATCTCTCTCATAAAATCTGCGGTAAGAATTTTTTCGTAGAAAACAAGTGACTCAACGCAGGCAGAGCATGCGTTGCATTTACGCAGCGACACGCTTCTGACGCCCTTGAGCAGAGGTGCGATAGGGGGAGCCAAGTCTCCCCCTACCTTCACTTTTGAGCTGATACAGAGTGACCACCTTCACTTTTGCGAAAATTTTTTTGTTGAATATAAAGAAGGAAAATAAGTAAAACAAACGCAAAAAGGATTATTGAAGGCATATACATATGTATTGCAGTTTTAGGAACTCGCCGTCACCCATCGGAAGCGAAGGCCATCACCGCCATGGACGCATCCACTTTTCCGCCTTTCCACGAAATCGGAGAAGATAGCTTCGGGACGAGTTTCGATTTAAAAAGCTATGACCAAACGGTCCTCTTTAGGGCCAACAATTGACCCAACGGCCCTTTTTAGGGCCACAGATACGATGAACACAGCGGCATAAATATTCGAAATAAACGTGTCAATGAAATGGTGTATTTTGAAGTGAAACTCAACGACACTCTACAGATTTTATTAAGTAAATTTAGTTATGTCTTACTGCGAAGAAAGTAGGTCGATCCAGGAAGTATTTGCCGAGAACCAGAATTTTGAATGAAAAAATAACCAGAAATCATGCAAAATTGCCACTGTTATAAACCAAGTGGTTGAAGATGTCAGCAACTGCGACTTCATAGGTTTTAAAGGGTAAGTGTTGCTCTAACAGACAGTGAAAGAATCGGGTCGATTTGAGCAGTGGTCGC